CAAGCACCCATGTGTTGCACCAGGTTGTCACCAAACAACCTTGACAAGTGAGATCAGTCACTGCCTTTCGACAGGGTCGTTCAACACTATGATAGCCTTACCGTATTATCTGTGCCCTTACTTCAGAATAATACTGGGGCTACGGACGTTTCTAGAATGGCCACCATATGTGCTCATAGGGTTCTCACTATCAAGATCTGAAACACTTTATACCCTCGTCACGGTTATACCATTCTAAGGACATATATCAATACATATTGCAATAATAATGATTTACGCGATATAGAATAAAATGCCTTTTATTATTGATTAATGAACATTATTACAAAAAGTCAATTCTACAATAATTGATTGGCTCTAAGGCATCTACTCTAACAATTTCAGCATCAAATCGGTTATTGCACGATAATATTACCCTCTATAAAGTGACATAGACCAACCCTTTCAATTTAATAATCTTCCTACAGCATAAGGAGGCGAGGAACTTACCGAAAACCACGATTAGAGTGCTGTTGGGAGCAAACAGATGTTGACAAAGAGCAGAGGTTGCTGTGATGTAGATGTTGGACCAACGACAAAGGCAAAAAAAGTTAGGGTTTGAAATTGCAATCCAAACAAATCACGTTGCAACCATAAAAGTAACTGAAAATGCAATTCATACACACAATTTCAGCAATTTCAGCCCTAACACACATAAAAAAGAACACACCCAACCAAACCTTAAATAGAAAAAACAAAGGAACCCTAACTCAAATGTAACAAATCACGACATTAAACCCTAAACCCTACTGCCATTACAAACTATTTTCATGTAATTTCAGGATCAAATCGGTTATTCCATGGCAATATTACCCTCTCTAAAGTGAAACAAACCAACCCTCTCAATTTAATAATCTTCCTATACCATAAGAAGGCGATGAACTTATCGATAACCGCGATTAGAGTGCTATCGGGAGCAAACAGAGGGCGACGAAGACTCAACATTGCTGCGACAGAGATCATGGACCAATGACAGAGGCAAAATGGACAAGTTAGGGTTATGCATTGCAATCCAAACAAATCACGCAACATAAAAAGGAAATAGGGCAAAGGACTTACTGGAAATAGCGATCGGACTGACGAACTGGCGAACGAGATCGACGAGAAGAAAACTCCAGCAGCGGCGAACAAGTTTTAGCACAGAGAAGGAAATCGTGGCTGTACGGTTGTGAATTTTTTTTTCATTTATACTGCAGTTTTAATGAAGTTCAAGGGCATATTGGTCACAATAGGCAAATATCTGAGGATAATATTGGTACACCAATCTTCATGGCATTTTTGAAAAAAATGATAAAAGCAGGGCATTTTCATTTGGAAAATAAAAAAACTAAGGATAAATACGTCTGTTTGTGCAAATTGACTATTTTGTAATTATTAATAAACCAAAGGATATTTTCATCCGCATAATCCACTGTTTAGGGGCAAGATTGGACAAAAATTATGATTACCGGAGGAATGTTTTAATAACAACCCCCCTTTAGGTAATATTATTCCTGGCAATTTACCCTTTTTTTGGCACTATTTGTCATCTTCTTTTTCTGAAATGTTTTTGCACAAAAATGTCAAACACGGTTATCTACTCAATTAAACAAATATTACCCACGTTAAAAAATTTCAACCCGATCCAAACAGCCCCTATATGTATTACCATGCGACATATTATAAACTTAATAAGGTGCGTTTGATTAAGAGAATGTTGAATTACTGGAAAGTTGATTACCTTGAAGATTACTGGGAATCTTTAAGAAAATGTGTTTGGTTAGTTAGAATAAATTGGTGGGTATGTTATATTAATATGTTTGGTTGGGAGGAATAAATTGGTGGGTATGTTATTTAAATTACTAAATTACCCTCTTTTTAAATATTAATATAATATTATTTTTATTACTAATTTTTGAATAATTTATTTGAACCCCCAACATTCAACGTTTCAGATTTAGCTAAAATACCCCCGCTTATATAAAACTTTAATTTATAACAAAATCACCCCCACCAACCCAAGCCATTGCTCGCCACCGCCATCCGCTGCTAGAAGTCGCCTGGAGTCGCCATGAGTAGCCGAGAGATACCGGGAAGCTCTGATATGGCCGTTTCTAGCCATATTGATGGCAAAAAATGGCCATATTAACTGCAAAATCCATCAATTTGGTTGAAAATGATTAAAATAGATGTGACAATTTTCATTCAGATCTACTCTAATATGGCTATTTTTTGCCATCAATATGTCTAGAAACGGCCATCTTCTTGGTGTCTCTCAACTACTCACGGCCGTATCAGAGCCTCTTTAGTTGACTTCTAATTAATAAAGGCAATATAAAAAATATTGAATTAATAAAACACTTTAAAACGCGCAATTTTAGGTTTGAATCCTCTAACTCTCAAAATTTAAATAGGTGATCATGGTTTCGGGTATCTCCAGCATATGAAAAGTGTGATATAGACCAAAGTTCATTGTCCAACACTAGGTAAAGATTTGGATTTTGGACGAAAAGTAATTATAAAGTTTTAGATTTGATCTTGAGTGGTTGTTACCAAAATGATCACTACTTATGTTGGCTGATGTGCGATTCAATGGATTCATCCCATTTTGGACCAAATCAATATGAATATATAAAGCCCATAATCAGATGATGCATAAAAGGATTCCTACCAAAAACCATTATCATGTAATATCCTTTTACGTTAGGAGGCGTTTGGTCGGGATTATCCCATTATTAAGGTAATGTTATTTTATATTATTTAAATTATTTCATTTGATTATCAAATAATATAAGATTTCGATAATCTTTCAAAACCAATAGTAATTTTCTCAAGTATTTTAAGATTATTTAATAATCATAATTGTATTACAATTTTACCCTTAACTGTTGAATTTTTTGATAATAATGCCCTTGTTTTGAAAACAATTTACCAAAATATTTATGGACTATTTTATTCTTATATACAAAATTTTTAGGACATAAATACCCTTAAACTTGAAAAAAATTACCCAAGGCTGGTGGCTAGATTTGGCCACCACCGCTGGCCGCCAGCTATTCCGACCACTGTCGTCACGATTGGCAGTGACTTGGGGTACGTGAGGGTGATTTTGTTAAAAATTAAACTTTTATGTGATTGGGGTGTTTTAACAAAATCTCAAATGTAAGGAGTTAAATGAATGATTCAAAAAATAATAATAAAATAATATTATATTAATATTTAAAACAAAATGTAATTTATTAATCTAAATAACATACCCATCAATTTATTCCTCACAATCAAACGTATCAATATAGCATATCCATTAATTTATTCCAATCTAACCAAATACATTTTCCTAAATATTTCTAGTAATCTTCAAGGTAATTTAACATTCTTAATAATACAACATTACTAAAACTAAATCTATCTCTTAGAAATACTATCTTAATTTTTGTGTTTAAAACCGAAATATTATTTTTATTATATTATATGTGAAATATAATATTACTTAAGTTCTTAATTACCTTAAAAATTTCAAAGAAATGATCGACGGCCACGTAAACTCAATCCACATCACTAACATAAACGAGTGGTGGAATTGTTCATTACAAAACTACAGAATCATGATGGTTCATCCAACGGTAGATGACGATCCACATCCATGTTATCCAATCCCAGACTCTCACCATATAAAAATCCAAACATATAAATTCTCTTCGTTGAATCTTATCAAACATGGCAAATCTTCCTCGTCTAACGCTGCACCACAGGCTCCCACTCTTTGGTGCTCTTTCTTCTGCTTCAGTCTCTACTTTTTCGTGTTCTACTTCTGTTTCGAGTCTTTCCAAAGCGCTGAACAAGTGTGGCATTGGAATTAGAGCGCCTCGCCGTCTGGTGTTGGGTCTGGGAGCCGCATGTTGGACTCAGTTTTTTAGTATGGCGAGTAATGTTGCCTCCAAATCTTTCATTGCTTCTGCAAGGCAAAAGGGTGCTGTTGAAGAGGTAAAGTTTTCATCTTTAATTGCTGTTAGCAACAAGAATTCTTTTGTTGGTTATTGAATTGTGATATATTATTGTATTGGTGCATTCTTGATGAAATATGATGGGATAGTCTTGGAATTCAATTAATTGAGCTTCTGATAATGTAGCAATTGAATCATCTATTCAGTGATCGTTTTGGTTCAAATTAGTTGGGTGCGTCATGTATGTTATGTGCTCTTGTGTTTGAGTGGGAAGTCGTTGGCAGTAATTGACTTGGTGGAATATGGCTCACTGCAGTTACATTCTTGTAACTAATGTGTTTGGTCTTAAATCTAATAGATATTCTTAGATTTTTGAGAATTTTGAGGCCATATGTAAGTATACGGTACCATTATTTCAATAATTCATTTCACTTTCATCTCATAGATATTGAAGAATGTTGAGTGGCCAGAGCAATTCCCTTTCAAGGAGGAGGATTTTCAGCGCTTTGATGAGTAAAGGCTCTATACTTTATTTTCTTGCTTGAATTAAACTCTATATCAGGGACAATGCAAGCTGCTCATCTAAATGGCCACCATTTTAGCTGAAACTTCATAATATCTATTTGTAGTTTCAATTGTTACGAATCCCGTCACTGCAAGCTTATATACAGTGTTTGAGTTTTCTATATCTGAAATACAATAATTGATAATTTCAGGACACCTGATTCAATTTTCTATGAAGCTCCTCGATTTGTGACACACATTGATGATCCAGCCATTGCTGCATTGACTAAATACTATTCAGAGGTTTTACCTCCTAGCAATACTCCAGGAACAAGCATTCTAGATATGTGTAGTAGTTGGGTAAGACATATTTATCTGTATGACAGTGCCATTCCATGGTGCATCTTATATTATCATAACCCTCACTCTTGGCTTCACATTTAGGTGAGCCATTATCCACCAGGGTACAAACAAGATCGTATAGTTGGAATGGGCATGAATGAAGAAGAGCTCAAACGGAATCCAGTAAGTTTTTACTTTAACTGGTTATGATGTCTTTTTGTTAATTTTTACTGTAGATATTTCATTTAACTGATATAATTCGACGTTCAAAAATCCAAAATTTGTTACCGCTTTGGCTGATTTTAGCAATTGCAATTTTATTAACTTAATCAAATCTTGATTAGGGTTCCTCCTTCAAAATTGTTATTGGTTGGATAGTGGTTGTCTCCTTCAGTTATTTCCCAACAAAATATTAAACAAGGAAAGGCTAGTATTTTTTGCAGGCATTATTTTGTTTCCTGTAGATCAGTACGATCAGCATAACTTCATAGGTATCATGTATCACGAGACAAATAAGGAAAAAGTATGAGCATGTAAATAATGACAAAGTGACACCCCTCTTTGAACTGGTTGAGTTGAAACCTTTGTCTATATGACGCTGCTATAGTGGACATCATAATCATGGACTAATTTGCACACATATTAGTATATGACCATTATATTGATGAGGTAAAGACATTCAATGCTTTGAATTATGTCTCTACGGGTTTTGACTGAGTATGCTGTTCGAGACATAAATTTAAATCCTAAACTTCCATTTGAAGATGATTCCTTTGACATCATTACTAATGTGGTATGTACATCTTTTACATCTCAAGAATATTTCATTGTTTTTTCATGTACATACTACTAGTGTATGCTTTCCTAATACTGCTAAACAAATTCTTACCGAAATATTAGGACACATCTGAATTAATATGTTCTTTTTCCTTCTCATTTGTGTATTACTTGTCATTATATTTTAAGCTTCAGCTGGTTACAGCTTAGAATCACTTGACATGTCACAAGCAAGTAGACTGATGACATCTAAACTAAACTGCGACCCACTAGGTTGTAAGATAGGCTTCAAAAGAAGAATAAGAGATTTGCATGTACTGACAGAAGAATTACTTATACAGATGCTCTCTCATGTGATATTACGACAATAAGGCATAAGCCACCATCCTATTTGTGAATTTGGTGGCTCAAAGTACTGAAATGATGGGTATACTATCTGAAGTTGTCAGATCTGCTAAAGATCTAGGCATCATTATAAATCTGTATGCCTTTTTTCAATATGATCCATAAAAACCACCAAAATAATGACAATATTTAGAATGCAAAACTAGGGTATATGATCTACTTCAACATACAGAGCAACAACCACATCAATATGTGAACACGAAAGGACAATTGCATAAACATCAATCAGTGTATCCAAATAAATCACTAGCTACTAGGAAAAAAAACCCCTTACATTGACCAACCATATATCTCTAAGAAAAGAAAAATGGCCAAAAACAATTACCTTAAAGCTCTCTATGTTAGTGGACCAACGACAGTTTTCAAAAAGTTGTCTTTGGGGAGCAAACAGAGGGCGATAAAGAGCCGACGTTGCTGCGGCAGAGATGGTGGACCAACGACAGACAGAAAATGGACAAGTTAGGGTTTAGGGTTGCAATCCAAACAAATCATGCAACATACAAAGGAAATAGGGCAAACGACTTACCGGAAATAGCGATTGGACTGACGAACTGGTGAACAAGATCGACGAGAAGAAGACTTCACCAGTGGCGAATGAGTTTTAGTGTAGAGAACTGAGAAGGAAATCGTGCTTGTTTGTGCAATTTAGAAATTTATTTTTTCTTTTATCCTGTAGTTTTAATGAAGTTCAAGGGCATATTGGTCACAATATGCAAATATCTGAGGATAATATAGGTATACCAATCTTTGTGGCATTTTTGATATAAATGATAAAAAGCAGGGTAGTTTCGTCCGGAAGATAAAAAAACTGAGGACAAATACGTCTGTTTGTGCAAATTGGCTATTTTGTAATTATTAATAAACAAAGGATATTTTCGTCCGCATAATCCATTGTTTAGGGGCAAGATTGGACAAAAATTATGATTACCAAAGTAATGTTTTAATATCAGCCCCCCATCAGATAATATTATTCCCGGCAATTTGTCCCCTTTTTGGCACTGTTTGTCATCTTGTTTTTCGGTAATGTTTTTGTACAAAAATTCCAAACACGATTATCTGCTCAATTAAACAAATATTACCCATGTTAAAAAATTTCAACCCGATCCAAACGAGCCCATAGTATTATTCTTTTTTTTTTTTTTTTTTTAAATGTGAGTGTAATATCTGCAAGTGTGAAGAAATCTGTAAAAAATAAACAAGCAAGATTATGTAGTAGATAGGGAGTTGGCTTGTGTTATTTCTTCTTGTTTATTTCTTTTTTCATTTGGTTCACATTAAACACCTAGGGTGAGTTTGGAAAAATGATTATACACCAAACTGATTATGAAAGTTTGTAATTCACCTAGGGTATATTTTGTAATTCACATATGTTTTTCAAAAGAAATTCAAAAGCATGTATTTGTAGCTTTTAGAATCTAAAAGTTGATTTTGGAAGGGTCAATTACAAAAAAACTCTAAGATGAACTTAAATTATAAATTCTTTTTATTAAAAATATTAAAAACAAAATAGTTGAAAACTGGCCTATGGAGTCGTCGACTAGCAGTTGTTGATAGTGGTTGGTTGCCCGTTGGCGGAAAATTCTTTGGTGAGTAGGTTGACACCGTGGCATGATTTCATAGATGGCCTACCAGTGGGTGCAACTATACCGACGATGTTGTAAAAATGGTGGCATTTGCCCACAGTGATACAGCAAAGTTCGACCAAAACTTTGCAAGCTTGCTGCAAATCAATGGTGCAACATTTGATGACACTGCCGACACAGTTGCACTCGTCGCTCGATGATCTACCCAATCATATCAACAATGTCAACTCACTTGCACCGGAAAATTTTCCACGACAGCAACTGCTAGTCAATGAATCCGTGAGCCAATTTTTAATTTTTAAAAATTTTGAACTTTTTAATGAAAAAATAAATAAATTTCAATATACTTAATAATAGAAACAAAACATTTAAAAAATACTTATTTGGGTCTTTTTGCATGGGTTGTAACTCATTTCTCAAAATCAAAAGTAATTTTTGAATAAAGTTAAATTACATTAATCCCCTTGAGGTATGTTATAATAACAAGAATCCGTTTGGGGTCGTTTGGATCAGAGGTATATAAGATAACGGGGGTAATCTTCGTTTATTTTGCAAGATTTTGGTGTTTGGTTTGCAAGTAATAAAATATTACGGTAATCTTTTATTGCAAATAATGTTTACTATTGGTAATTTGGGGGGTAATCTTATTACCTTGTTAGTGGGTGTTATTAAAACATTACCAGGGTAATAAGATTTTTCTACTTATTTTGCCTTTAATTAAAAACCATTTCGAATACAAGTATCCTCAAATGTCTACCAATAACTATTACACAACCCCCCTACATTTGAGAAATTAGCTAAAACACCCTAACCACAAAAAAGATTAGAAGTTTACAAAATACCCCTAACCACCCAAGACCACCGTCAACCGTGACTCATCACCGCCAGTCACCGATGTCAGTCAATGTAATGGTGCACAACTAGTGGGATATGGCTAGTCGTGCGCCGTTAAGGCCTTCTCTGTGATCCATGGCTGTAAACAGCCAGATCTGGTGTTTCTATGGTTGTTTCATGGCCAAAGATGTGGCCGTGAAAATGCCAGATCTTTTGATGTGAAATGGCATGGCCAAAGATCTATGGCCATTTCAATGCAACATCTTTGGCCATGAAATAACCATAGATCTAGCCGTTTTCTGGCCATGGATTTGTGATCCATGGCCATTTCTGGATTTGTCGGCGCACAGCCGGCCATATATGGCCAGTCTGCGCCATTTCGTCGATTGTTCGCGGTAGTTGGCGATGGTGGCTAGCTGCCAGTAGTGGCTTGGGGTGGGTGGGAGTGATTTTGCTATAAATTAAAGTTTTATATGACTGTGGTGTTTTAGCAAAATTTCAAATGTAGGGGTTTAAAAGAAATGATTCAAAAAAATAATAATAAAAAATATTATTATATTAATATTTAACAATGAGGGCAATTTAGTAATCTACATAACATACCCACCCATTTCTCAACTAAAAATATTATTCACCAATTTATTCAAACCAACCAAACATATTTTCTAAACATTCTTAGTAATTTCGAAGTGATCTTTTTTCCGTTAATATAATATATCCCTATAATAAAACATTATATAATCCAAATGCCCCCTTTGAGGTTTTTGAAATAACATCGTTAATAAACTATTAGTGAACCGTTAAAATTTGCACTATTATGTGTTAATAAATATTACCAAATTGCCCCCTTACCGTTTATTTTAACACCTAAACTTAATAGCAAGGGGATTTCTGTTATTTCCAAAATTTTCATTATATCATATCTTAAGGGAATTAATGTCATTAACTCTTTCAAATATATATAACAAAACAAACACCTCATAGATTATTTTTGAAGTTGATTATTTGAAAAATGGACCTATAAATGATTATGGTACATGCTACAATAATCCCAAACTAAGCCTTATTATGATGCGGGAAAATGTCAATGCCCACTTCAATTCCAAATTTGAGCATTGGTGGCTTTGAATACTAGTAACTTTTTGGGTAAACCCGTAATTGTCTCCCCCGCGACTGAAGATAAGATCCTGGACAAAAGTAACTATCGATTTCATTACAATGTACAATGAAGAAAGAATAATCATGCAAAATTCGATTATAGTGTTAGGTAAAGTTATTAGTAAAAGTAAACTTATTATAATTAGTTTGTAGAATTAATTTTTTATTTAAAAATAGTCATTATTTGATAATTTTTAGGGCCAAAAAATGTCCTTGGCCCAAATAGGGTAACACTTCTGACAAAGAGGAAAGCCTAGGCCCAGTCCCGATGTAGCCCAAGCTAGAATTCCCCAGATGATGCCCATTCGATATGAAGTGCAGTCGGTCCATACCATCTGGACCCAGGCCCCCTGATCCTAGCATACCCTCTGGGCTTATGGTCAAGTTTGGAGCCCACAGTCACCCACGGATTAAACTCATACTTAAACTCTGATAAGGAAGTTGACTACTGTCTCAATTCCTCCAAAGTCTGTATCCGAGTCATGCTCGAACTCCCTTTCACGCCAGGATAAAGGGGCCAAAGTATACACCCCTGGGAGGAACAATTACTACGAGGACTCCCAATCCCATCAGGATTGGAAAACCATACAGTCACTATTTAAACAAAGGCCAGCCCTCTCACAAGGGAGATGACATTACACCTTCAGACCCTGGAGTTCCCGCTTGAGAACTTCGCAGTACAGCCGTAGTCATGTCCCGACTAGACTTCTAGTAACCTCTCTTCTCTCTAGCCCTCACTAAATTAGCCTCTTTCAGCCTTGTTGACTTGAGCGTCGGAGTGCCTATGGCAAACACTACCCTGGTGTTTTCCGTCACTTCACGTTTGTTTCCTTACGTGTGCAAGTGCAGCATATCGCTAGTGACCTTAATCTCACGGGATCAGTCCCTCTTTCCGTACAGGTAGATTTTTACGTCTACTATAATCTTAATACATAAAAGCTCTTTAATAAATTACTTGAAAAAATTAATGAAATAAAAATTTAAAAATAAGGTGATGACATTATTAACATTTCTCCTATAAAAATGTCAATGTTGGTCAAAAGGAGCAGCCTAATTTGATTGAATCATCAGGTTCCATTATGTTATTTTTGGCAGCATGAGACAATCTAAGCTGCCACAACCTTATTTGGCCAAAATCAATGTTAGAATCCGATGTAATCACCAAATTCCTGTGGATTTGGATTCACCGGTTTCCATAGAACCAAATATGACATCAATGTGCCACCGTTGATCATCGTTGACCACTGGTCAACAGTGGTTGCTTGATGCCATAAGTCCAATATTTTGAATATTTCTAAATTATTAATTAATCAATAATTTATTTAATATAAAATTTTAATACATTTTAAATATTTATTAAATACCTATTAAAATATCAATTTTGAATTTAAAAAAATTAAAAAAATAAATGTAATTGTTGGTCATTATACATGCAACAACAATTAAAAATCTAATTTATTAAACACATTACATATTATTTTTAATACAATAATTTCAAACTAGCCATAGGTTATTTTTCATATAGGAATTGGTTTTCAGATTGCATAATGCTATACATCACAAAATTCACATCCCAAATGACTTGTCATTTTGTTTGATATTGTCATATCATTCAATAAATCATTTTTATTTACATCTTAACACCATATAAGATTACACAGTATTTCGGAAGAGAAAAATAATTTTTGGAATGTGTATTATTATTGTTCTAGATTACTCTCTTTATATTGCATATTAATTAACAAAAAACATAAAAATTATGTAAAAGAAGAAATAAGAAATGATAATTCATTAAACACAAATATCATAAAAAAAGACAAAATATTTAAAAGAAATTTAAGGAAAAGGAAATAAAATAACATATTTGATCCCCAAAAATCATGGCAAAAATTAAGAGGGAAAAAAAAAAATAATAATAAATAATAGCCAAAAGAGTTGGAGACAGTGGGAGCATAAGCTTGGAAATTATCAGACAAACAAATAAACACGCGTAAAGTTAAAGCCTACCACTACTATTATGACGCCGTTATCATCAAACACAACTTAATTCTCAATTTACAAAGTACTTGTTCTCCTCTCTCTCTCTCTCTCTGTGGCTGGCTCTCAGTCTCAGAATCCAAGAAATCATTTAATTTATTTGGTTTGCTTTCAATTTCTTGAGAAAATTTAGGGGATCTGATAGTATTCAGAGAACGAGAGAGTGAGAGAGAGGTTAGGGTTTAGGGTTTGAGGAGCAGGCCAATCAATGGCCTCCACGTCGCAGTCCCTTCGCTACGGCGGCCCTGGAGGAGCCTCCGCCCCGAGCGGCGGTAGCTTCGACGCCCTTAACAGAATTCTCTTGGACCTTTGTACGCATGGCAATCCTAAGGTACGGTTAGTTGTACGGAAAGACAAGGAGAGTTAAATAAAGAAAGTGAGAGTGAGTTATGTGGATGCTTCGAGTTTTACTTGATTGTTTTGTGTAACTGTTTTGCAATAGGAGGGTGCTTCGTTAGCTTTGAAGAAACACCTAGAGGAGGAGGCGCGTGATCTTAGTGGAGAAGCTTTTTCTCGATTTATGGATCAGTTATATGATAGGATTTCTAGTCTATTAGATAGCAACGATGTTGCTGAGAATTTGGGCGCTTTAAGAGCCATTGATGAGTTGATAGATGTGGCTCTGGGTGAGAATGCCTCCAAGGTTTCCAAATTCTCGGGTTATATGAGGACTGTATTTGAGGTAAAGCGTGATCGAGATATTTTGGTCCTTGCAAGTAAAGTTCTTGGCCATCTAGCCAGGGCTGGAGGAGCAATGACTGCAGACGAAGTGGAGTTTCAGGTTTATGGCTATGTGCATTTTTTGTTTGGTGGGTTGTGGTTTGTTTATGGGAGCAGCATGTGATGAGTATTGTTTTTTGGTTTCAGGTAAAAATGGCCCTTGATTGGCTTCGTGGGGATCGAGTAGAGTATCGCCGATTTGCTGCCGTCTTAATCTTGAAAGTAAGTGTGAGCATGTTGGTTTACTTGTTGTCTACAGTTATTGGCTAGGTTTTATTAATTTTCTTCCTCGCATTTAGAAGAATGGAAACTTCGCCTTGATTGTACATTTATGCTATAGTAATGTTCTTTTTGTTTTTTCTTGTTTTTTAAATTGGAATGTTTGGCTTTTTAATTTTCGTTAATGCAGAACTGTTGTGTTCCAAGTCCATCCCATTCAATGTAGGGTGACTTATCTACCAACTTTTCCATTATCACCCCAAAATAACCGATTACCATTACATTAATTAAAAAGCAAAATTTATTAGTATAAATTTATTGCATATTTTGGATATCTTTTCACCTTTTTAATTTTTTTTGTAATTTTATAATAGGAAATGGCAGAAAATGCTTCAACCGTGTTCAATGTCCATGTACCTGAATTTGTTGATGCTATCTGGGTTGCACTGAGGGATCCAACATTGGCTGTTAGAGAGCGGGCGGTGGAGGCATTGCGTGCTTGCCTTCGTGTTATTGAAAAGCGTGAGACACGCTGGCGTGTGCAGTGGTTAGTTTTTCATTTTCTGAATTTTGAATTATAACTGTTAATTTATCATTGTGTATAGGTCCTTTTGCTTTCCCATGCTACTGCTTGTTTAGTGGCTGCTTTTGAATTCTGTAAAGCCCCTCTTTAGTAATGCAAATAAGATAGTTTCTTATAAATAACAATAAGAAATAACAGTTGATTAATACTTTTTGCGCCAAGAACCCTCTTTTTTTTTTTTTTTTTTTGTTATTAAATGTAGAGAAAAGGAAATAGTAAGGGAGAAAGTAGAAAAACCTGAGTTGAAGCTCTATTGAAATACACGAAGTGACATATGGTCGGTGTCTTGATTTACCATGTGCAACCGTGCCTAATTTTTATGTTCATTTATGATATCTTTTTGCTGTTATAAATTTCCACTATCCAGACTGTGGATCAAAATTTGGGAGGAGCCACAATCCTATCATGTTATGGTTGGAGCAAGCTTGGAGAGTTTGATAAATTGAACCAATTGATACGACTCCATACCTATTTGAATTCTAAACTTGTTTTCAACTCTTCGAACCACTTTGTTGTGTAGTACAGAGTTGTTAGTTTTATACTAATATCATCTCTTTTTCAGTTGCATGTGAAGAGTTTGAAGATACCTTTTTCTTCCTGATTCATCTTAACTAAAGTGGGGTTCTAGGTTGATTTTGTTGTTGTTTTGGGGTTGCTTTAGGTGTACATATCATACAGCTAATGAGTCTGTTTTCACTACCTATACAAAGTTCTTATCAATATTTCTTGTACAATTTTTGCCTCCCTCTTCAAGAGGTAATCTTACACCTTAGTGGAGTTGATGCGCTTTCCTACTTCTCTCTTTCTTTTAACATACTTTCCTGTTTCCTATAGAAGAAAAATAATCTTAACATGACTAGTGAGCCTAGTTGTCTGTACTTATTTGATGCTCTGTATCTCTTATTGAAGAGGGACAGTATATTGTTGAGGGTGGTGATGCTACAAATATTGTTGAGGGTGGTGATGCTACAAATTCTAATGTTTCCTTCCTTGATACGCTAATTTCTTGTTGGTGCAACTGTATGTACACAACTTTTAAATTTTTCAAACAATTGAAAAACTCTTGCTTGGTCATCTGTTTTTATTATTTTTTGTGTGGGCAATGAGTCCTGATGTAATTTCTTTGTGATAGGTATTATCGAATGTTTGAGGCTACTCAAGATGGGTTGGGCAGAAATGCTCCAGTACATAGCATACATGGTTCTTTACTTGCTGTTGGGGAGCTCTTGAGGTAGGTGAAAATTTACAATTATTGTCAAAATCTTTGGCTTCTGAAGTTTTTTGAGTAGAAAAAACCACTTCTCTCTTTCCAATTTATTTTTCGTATTCCTTTTTTTTATTTTTTTTTTTATTTTCCTTCACCTGGTGGTATATAGGATCAAGTTTGAAACCGAGGTTTTGTCGTTAGCATCTTTATTTTACTTCTTTAGTCTCATTGCCCCTTTTTCGATTTCTTGTGGAGCTCTGATTTTTGTATACAGGACACAGGAATTGTGTCCCTTTTTTAAAATCTTCCAGATTTTGTTGAATAGAGGATGTGTGTTGTTCTCTATCAAAATAATATAAATCTGGCCATCATTTGGCCTGCTTTATTTAACTGATTTTAGTGTTTGATGTGGATATAATGGAAATGTTTTCTGGACAGGAATACGGGTGAGTTCATGATGTCACGGTATAGAGAAGTTGCTGAAATTGTACTCCGGTACTTAGAGCACCGGGATCGGCTTGTTCGCCTTAGTATAACTTCCCTACTACCTCGCATTGCTCATTTCTTGCGTGACCGATTTGTTACAAACTACTTAAAGGTTTGTGGATTGCTTCATTTTCTATCATATAATTGTATCTAGCATGGAGAACATTTTGGATAATGGAGTTATCCTTATCTATATAGCGGTAAGTTACGCTAGTAATATGTGCATGCACTTGTGATGTGTTGCAGATATGCATGAATCACATTCTCGCAGTTCTGCGAATTCCGGCTGAACGTGACAGTGGATTTATTGCTCTCGGGGAGATGGCTGGTGCTTTGGATGGGGAACTCATCCATTATTTGCCGACAATTACGTCTCACTTACGTGAAGCAGTAAGACGTAAAGAATTTTGGTTGACATAAGTCTTGTGCCATTAATTTAGTTCTCTTTTGTTGCATGTTCTTTGTCACCACAATTGTTTTTGAGTTAATGCTGTTTTCATTTGGTAGGCAACGAGACTTCTAATTAATGGCATATTTATGATATGTAGATTGCTCCACGCAGAGGCAAACCCTCACTTGAGGCTTTGGCTTGTGTTGGAAATATTGCAAAAGCAATGGGTCCTGTAATGGAATCTCATGTGCGTGGTCTCTTGGATGTAATGTTTTCTCCTTCTGCTAGTCTTTCCAGTACACTTGTTGATGCCCTTGAACAAATTACTGTCAGGTACACTGAGGCATTCTTGTATGTTTTCTTTAGTTGCTTGTTATGATTATTTTATTAGAGAATTGACCTTTTATATAAGTGGTTGCTGTTTCAGTATTCCTTCTTTGCTGCCTACTATTCAAGATCGGCTGCTTGACTCTATTTCACTAGTTCTTTCAAAATCCCATTATTCTCAAGCTAGGCCAGCTGCTCCCTTGGTTCGAGGAAATATTGTGAATATTCCTCAGCAAGTTTCGGACCTTAATGGTTCGGCCCTAGTGCAACTTGCATTGCAGACTCTTGCTCGTTTTAATTTTAAGGTGTGCATCTAGATTTTTTCAGATATGAATCCTATGTTAGCTTCATTGTTCATTCTGACTTTAATATATGGTTTAGGGCCATGAACTTCTCGAGTTTGCAAGAGAATCAGTTGTTGTATATCTGGATGATGAGGATAAGGTCACACGAAAAGATGCTGCCCTATGTTGTTGCAAACTAGTTGCTAATTCTTTCTCAGGAGTATCATGTACACAGTTTGGTTCCAGTAGGTCCAATCGAACTGGAGGAAAGCGAAGACGTCTTATTGAAGAGGTTTGTATACATCAATATTTTCTTATTTCATAATTTTCTGTGGAGCTAAGAAATAATGTTAATACTAGAAACAAAGATCAGTGAGCACAAGATCTAGTGGTCCAGAAGTCCACTTGAGAAAAAAGTAAAAGATGATACCGAGAGATGCAGAGGAAAAAAAAATTAAGAAACTTAAGTGTTCCAACCTCTTTAGATAAACAATTAAGCTTCTCTTGAAGATGCTTAGTTACCACCCCCAAAGATGTCTTGACATAGACACTATTTTTCAATTTTTTTTTTATGTGTACATATATTTATCTATTTATACCCTGAACTTTTACCTTTTGCATTAACCGAGTTCTGAACGGGGAATTTAAAATCTTAACGTCTTGGTTGACATCAAGGATTTTTATCATGATTTGAGCTCCTTTCCTAGGAAAATCAAAGTCCACTTCAGGACCATCTTCAAAATATTTCCTGTTCCTATTTCTGTTATATTTTCAATGTTACCATGCCCATGCTCTGCTTTTTTTAAATTTTAAATGTAGCTGTCCTTTTTTTTTTTTTCCTTAATTTTGATTTTTCTATATGGGCTTCTGCAGCTTGTGGAAAAGCTTCTCATTGCAGCTGTAGCTGATGCTGATGTTACTGTTCGCCATTCTATCTTTTCCTCTCTGCATGGGAACAGAGGTTTTGATGAATTTTTAGCACAAGCTGATAGTCTGAGTGCAGTTTTTGCTGCTTTGAATGATGAGGTATGATTTCAATTAGTTCTTGATATGTGACTTTTATGGATATATCAAATTGAACTTTCACGTTTGAAGCCAATGATATTCTAACTTTTATCCTTTTACCTTCCCATTTTGAATGTTGTTTTACACTTTGGAATCCTGTTTGTGTATGACCTCTTTATTAAGTACTGTCATAATGTTTGTCATATTTATTTTCTATCTTACTATAGGTTTTGTTAGTTCTATTGACAGTGGAGGAAAAATATGAAATAATGAGAGGACTAGTAGTTCATAATATGCTTACATAACAGTGTTAAAGAAAAGAATACATGAGTCAAGGAAAGAAGAAAATCAGTCTAAACAACATTTTTTCAATCCCGAAATAAGGAAAGGTTATGGAAATTCCTCAAAAACTGTTGAAATTTAAGCCATAAGTGAGCAAAAAAGTTACTTCACTCCAATGTTTTTCAAACTTTTTGCAGAAGGTTCTAAATCTTCACCCTAAGTGAACTTTAATGATATTCTGACTGAACATCTCCATAAAGTTTTACCCTTCTTTGGAGTTTATGAGAGAAGAGGTGGAAGTGATGGCTTTGTGGCAGTGGGTTTAGATTTGGGGAGGTTAGAATTTTCAGAGAAAACAATAATGGTGAGGGTGTTTAAGTCCATTTAGGTTAATTAACTGATTCCATAGACACCTGTTATCTCAAGGGGCTATTTTACTTGTATTTCAAAAACTGGCTTGATTTCTGTCATGATAACTGGAATTCAAGTTGCAAAAAAAATTGTTGTATTTTTGTTTAAAAGAAACTAAGCAGTATATTTTTTGTAAGAGAAGAGAACATCACAGGAAGGGAGTGAACCGGAGGCCAATTTCAGTGAAACAAAGTAAAAATTTCCATAAGAACAATAAAAGCAACCTAAGTTCTTTCACTTTAGTCACTACTCACTCTGATTGCAAATAACTACAAAATTATATTTTACTTGTATGAAGCTGTTTTGAAATTGCAAATTTTCTGATGCATTGCAGTAATAAGTTTGATGTCCTTTTTATTCAATTTTAGAATTTCTGGTGTTGCTTATGTGAAAAGCTAAATGTTTCTGTTGTGATAGGATTTCGATGTTCGAGAGTATGCAATCTCAGTGGCTGGGAGATTATCAGAAAAAAATCCTGCCTATGTTCTTCCCGCCCTTCGTCGTCATCTTATACAGTTATTGACATATTTAGACCAGAGGTAATGTTGATAGGGCTATAGACTTGGGATTTGGTTTGTCTTGTCCATTCAAGTCTTGAATACATCTTAATAGAAGCCATTGAGACGTTTTCGGTGGTTTGTTTTTCTGCTTTGATGAGAATTCTCAGATATTTTTATCTGAATAGATGAAAGCCTAACTTTTTGGCTTAAGTTTGAATCAGAATTGAATTAATTATTTCATTAAATTTTATTCTCTAAAATATCCTTACATAATTAATTTATTTATATTCTATCCATTTGAAATTATTTCTTCTAGGGATTATAAATAATGTTAAAATCTCTATTATGAAATATTTTGATAGCATAATATTTTTTTATATCTTCATTTTTAATTCAATGACTACTCTATTACAAAGTTGACTAACAAAATTAAATTAAAAAAAAACTATGTATTATACAATCAGATGAATTTTTAGTATTATATAATTAGTTGAATTTCGTACTAAAATAGTATTTTCTTTACTTCTAAAATGAATTATCTAAATAAAGTAATTGAGATTATAGCTTTTTTTTAGCCTTTTTTTAGATAAAATGCCATTTATTATCTGTAAAGATATATATGTTAAAATATTAGTTTTTAGAAATATTTGGTGTGTAAAAACAGACAATTTAGTATTTATGTTCAGATGTTGTAAAAATAAAAAGTCATTTAGATTCATACATCAAGTCTATCTAGATTTTAGACCAATTAAAATATTATCCGATTTTAGATGAAAAACAAACCTAACTTACAATTGTTGATGGCTATTTTTGAAATTATTTTTGTCAATTGTGTTTTGCTTTATCTGGGCTAGAGAAAAGAACATATATTATGCTTTTTTGAAGTTAAAGTGCCATATATTGACTTCTCTTGCGGCGTCAGCAGTGCAGATAACAAATGCAGAGAAGAAAGTGCGAAGTTACTTGGTTGCTTGATACGCAACTGTGAGAGGCTAATACGTCCATACATCACTCCAATACACAAGGTTTTGTCACTCATGTGCTACTTATGGTTATATCTCGTACTATTCATTCTTCCTTTCCTGAGAAGTTTTTTTTTTTTTTTTTTTAAATTTTTTATTAATAATATTTAATGCTCTTTTTCCTCCTTCATGTGGTGAGTATCTGGATTTTGCAGGCACTTTTGGCGAGACTTCTTGAGGGTACTGGGATCAATGCCAATAATGGCATTATTAGTGGAGTTCTTGTAACCGTTGGGGATCTTGCTAGAGTGGTGGGTAAACTTGTACTCGTAACTTTTATTTGAAATAATGCTTGAGTCAAGTTATAAATTGTGTTTAACTGGTACATGTTTGATTGAGAAGAACTCGAGTACACTAACCAACTTCAGAGCTGGCTGTTAAATTTCTCGCTCTCTTTGAGTGAGTTTGTAGTGAAGTCGTTGCATTCGTGTTTACCTTTCTCTTTGATTCTGACTTTTGGTTCACCCCTATGTAGAATATATTAAATGAAGAAACTTTTATTGTGTCTAATAAAAAAAATATTTTTTTAATCATTATCTGATGTTATAGTTTATTAGGGTATATGATAAGTATCCTAGCCTAATTGCAATACAATTAAGCTTATTCGGCTCACATAAAATGATTTCTGATAGGGTTTTGCACTCTTACTTTTGTTTAGGGTGGTTTTGGAATGAGACAGTATGTATCCGAAGTTATGCCTCTAATTGTTGAAGCTTTATTGGATGGAGCAGCTGTGGCAAAACGTGAAGTGGCTGTGACAACTCTTGGACAAGTTATCCAGAGCACTGGGTATGTGGGATGCCTCTTTTGTTGATTTATGGTCAATAATTTTCTTAAGAGTTAAATTTTGCGTCACTTTTGATAAAGATGGAGATTATGCACATTCACTTTCTGTTCAATGAACCAATTTTTGAAGTCACTTTTTAATAATTGATTCCCATATTTGATGACTCACGAATGAAATGTGTTTTTTCCTTCTACACTGATGCATTTTACATGTTTATGGATGCCTTTCTGCAAAATCAACTGTATAGGTAACATAGTACGATATTGGTTATGACATGGCAACAATTTTAACTAGGTGCATGGCAATCTTTTAGGGAATTAGGAAAATATTTTCTACTCCTTTAGTTGGAATAAATTCAGTACCCACTATGTAGACATTTTTGGTTTTAATGCTTGTAATATCCTCTATATGTACTTTTAATATCTGTTTTGTTTTACCATTTTGTGGTGGGCTGTTGGTTCTCCATCTTTGTATCTATCCATATGATTTAGTATGTTTAGTTCCATGTTTCTCATCCAATAAAAAAGGGTACTCCTAAAACATTTTGTTGTACGATTTTGGCAGGTATGCGATATCTCCATATAATGAATACCCACAATTACTTGTCTTGCTCTTGAAAATGTTGAATGGTGAGTTAGTTTGGTCTACAAGACGGGAAGTGTTAAAGGTATAATTTTGGACTGGAATGCTTTGTTATATCCTCTAAATGTGTTGCCATGCTAAAAGCATTTTTGGACACCACCAGGTGCTTGGGATTATAGGTGCTTTGGATCCTCATGTGCATAAAAGAAATCAGCAACTATCAGGGTCGCATGGAGAAGCTACCCGTGCTGCCAGTGATTCTGGCCAACACATTCCTTCAGTGGATGAGTTACCAATGGACCTTTGGCCATCATTCGCTACAACTGAAGATTATTATTCTACGGTAATATTTAAAAAATAAAATCATAGCAGTTATACCTGTTATGTAGTATTTTTTTCTAGCTCGTCTTAATTTCTCTATGAGCCCATGAATTTCAGGTTGCTATAAATTCTCTCATGCGAATTCTTAGGGATCCTTCGCTTGCTAGTTACCACCAAAAGGTGGTAGGATCTCTTATGTTCATATTTAAGGTATCTTTAATTTAAAGAATTCTATTTTCTTTCTCTGTTATTGTTATTTTCTTTATTGTCTTACATGATGTTTATTAATTTTATATGTTTCCTTGCGAGGTTAGTCAATGGGCCTTGGTTGTGTTCCATACTTACCAAAGGTTTGTCTTCTAACTTCTTAGTAATAATAAGCTCTTATCTGCAAAACCATACTCTTTGGTAGGAACTTTAGTTTCCGGAGCATGATATATCATGTGAAAATNTTACACTTGATTGAAGGATCTATTTAGCAGCCATCATGATTTTTGTTAAGCAACTAGTTGACTTAAATGTTTAAAGATGATATTTAAAAGGCTCACTATAGTGTTGAAGCTCTAAAGTGTCCTCTAATGTGAACTTGCATGCAGACTAAAAACAACAACAATCGCCAATACAACTACAACCACAAAAAATTTATAATTCAATTAATGTAACGTGAGGGATTCAAACATCAGATCTTTGGTCGACCTAGCTTTAATATTGTGTTAAGTAATCATCTAATCTAAAAGCTTAAGATAATAGATGAAGGTGCAACAATAGGATTTAAGTTTGGTGCTGAATATTGTATAGAAAATATGCTATAAATATCTTTGTTTGTTTCACTAACTTGCAAATCTTTTGGTTGATCACTGGTTTATCCTACTATTTTGTATTGCTTTTAGATAGCTATAAAATTATTTTCATTCCTATATATATGTAAAGACAACTGTATTTAAGATTTAACTCACTCAAATTAGAAGGATGCCAGCTAATAGGAGATTGGGATTAGTTATCCTCGTTATCATTGAGAGGTTTGAGTGGTTAGGCTTGTGGTTTTACGCCCATTAGTTAGGCTTGTGGTCTTAGTGAAGATTTTGGGCTTCAACGGGGACCCTAATCTTGAATTTGTGTTCATTAAATGGTTTGGCAGAGGGGTTTGCTGAGATATCAAACTAAAAAAAAAAAAAAAAAAAAATTAACAGTCTTCAATTTATTTTGCCAGAAACAACATGATTTCTCTTTGGTGACACTGCCGTGCTTCACGAGGTAATAATAAGTTTTCAGAATGAGATCAACAACAATCAGAAGTAGAAAAAGAAAGGGAAAACTGAAGTTTCTAGAGTTGAGGAGACTGAGCAAAGACTCTACTCTCATAGTTTAATTTTACAAATATTGTTAAAAGATTATTTCTTACTAGGACAACTGTGCCCATGAATTTGGTGAAAAACAAAATATAGAAGGAAAGTATTGGAATAGATAGCAGTGTTACTCTTTATGCTTACCAGTTGGTAAATTAATCTTAATGAGTTTGTCCTCTGCTTTCTGTGGTATTTTCCAGAAGAATAAAAGACAACAGATCATCTTTTCCTTTCCTACATGGTGGCTTCATTTTTATGGACTGAAGCTTGAAAAGAAGTTCACTTTCTGTGGGCTATTTTGATATCTGTTTCTTCCCTTTTGCTGAAAGTTCTTGTTCTTTTGGTAAGGAAATGTGCTAAGACCTTAAGTAAGTGAGGGGAACTGGTTCATCTTTGGATTGATTTGATGTGAAAGAAAAATAGGATTTTTGAAGATGTTAAAGTCTAGATTGCAATGTTTAGTGGGTTAAAATGCTTTTGTTTTATATTATTTTTATGAGCTTCAGTTTCAAGAGAGTTCGAAGATGCCTTTTTATTCTTGATTCATCTTAACCAAAGTGAGGTTCTAGGTTGATTTTGTTGTTGTTTTGGGGTTGCTTTACATGTACATATCATACAGCTAATGGGTCTATTTTCACAACCTATACAAAGTTCTTGTCAATATTTGTAGTACAATTTTTGCCTCCCTCTTCAAGAGGTAATCTTACACCTTAGTGGAGCTGATGTGCTTCCATATTCTCTCTTTCTATTTATATACTTTTTGTTTCCTATAGAAGAAAAATAATCTTAACATGACTAGTGAGCCTAGTTGTCTGTGCTTATTTGATGCTCTGTATCTCTTATTAAAGAGGTGAAGGTATATTGTTGAGGGTGGTGATGCTATAAATTCTGATGTTGCCTTTCTCAATGCGCAAATTCCTTGTTGGTGCAACTTTATGTACACAACTTTTAAGTGTTTTCAAACATTTGGAGAACTCTCGCTTTGGTCTTCTGTTTTTATTACTTGTTGTGTGGGCAATGAGTCCTGATGTAATTTCTTTGTGATAGGTATTATCGAATGTTTGAGGCTACTCAAGATGGGTTGGGCAGAAATGCTCCTGTACATAGCATACATGGTTCTTTACTTGCAGTTGGGGAGCTCTTGAGGTAGATGAAAATTTACAATTATTTGCAAAATCTTTGGCTTCTGAAGTTGATGTTTGAGTTGAGAAGACCACTTTTGTCTTTCCAATTTTTTCTTTTTTTTTTTTTCTTCGCTTCCCCTGGTGGTATATAGGATCAAGGTTGAAACCAAGGTTTTGTGGTTGGCATCTTTATTTTACTTCTTTGTGTCATTGCCTCTCGTTGGATTTCTTGTGGAGCTCTGATACTCATATATAGGACACATGAGTTGTGCCCCTTTTATTTAACTAATTTTAGTGTTTGATGTGGATATAATGGAAATGTTTTCTGGACAGGAATACTGGTGAGCTCATGATGTCATGGTATAGAGAAGTTGCTGAAATTGTACTCTGGTACTTATAGCACCGGGATCAGCTTGTTCGCCTTAGTATAACTTCCCTGCTACCTCGATTGCTCATTTCTTGTGCGACCAATTTGTTACAAACTATTTAAAGGTTTGTGGATTGCTTCATTTTCTATCATATAATTGTATCTAGCATGGAGAGCATTTTGGATGATGAATCATCCTTATGTATATAGCAGTAAGTCACCCCAGTAATATGTGCATGCACTTGTGATGTGTTGCAGATATGCATGAATCACATTCTCACAGTTCTACGAGTTCCAGCTGAACATGACATTGGATTCATTGCTCTTGGGGAGATGGCTAGTGCTTTGGGAGGGGAACTCATCCACTATTTGCCAACAATTACATCTCACTTACGTGAAGCAGTAAGACGTAAAGGATTTTGGCTGAAATAAGTCTTGTGCCATCAATTTAGTTCTCTTTTGTTTCATTTTCCTTGTCACTACAATTTCTTTGAGTTATGCTGTTTTCATTTGATAGGCAACAAGACTTCTAATCAATGGCATATTTATGATATCTAGATTTCTCCACGCAGAGGCAACCCCTGCTTGAGGCTTTGGCTTGTGTTGGAAATATTACAAAAGCAGTGGGTCTTGTAATGGAAGTTCCTCTTGTGGATGGTCTCTTGGATGTAAGTCTTTCCAGTATGCTTGTTGATGCCCTTGAACAAATTACTGTCAAGTACACTGAGGCATTCTAGTATATTTTCTTTACATGCTTGTTATGATCATTTTATTAGAGAATTGTCCTTTTATATAACTGGTTGCTATTTCAGTATTCCTTCTTTGATGCCTACCATTCAAGATTGGCTGCTTGACTCTGTTTCACTAGTTCTTTCAAATCCCATTATTATCAAGCAAGGCCAGCTGCTCCCTTGGTTTGAGGAAATATGGTGAATATTCCTCAGCAAGTTTCTGACCTTGACTATTTTTGATCTCATATAGGGTCAAAAGTAATAAATGAAGTCTTGGCCTACGGGAAATCTTAATCTTTCTTTAATGTCACAATGAGAACAAGAAAGAAAAGGTTTTGGTTTGAAAAGTCAGTAGGTCAAGTCAAATAATTTCTTTTATTCTCACCTCAGTGTTTTTAAATGATCTACTTCTCAGAGGAGCCTATTTATGTCAACAATCTAACTCTAAGGTTGGGTACTCAAATTACTTGACGTACAGCCTCCAGCACCTTCAATGGGTACAAAAAATAGCTATATAGTTAACTCGTAGCTAATAGTGATGCTATATGCCATGTAAATAAAATGTTATAGCTAAATACATTAATTAGTTACAATGTTTTACTATAGGTAATACATTGTAACTAAATAACTAGTTATTGTCACGATTTTAATAAGTTAAAGCAAGAGAAGAATATTAGCTTTGAGAAAGGAAGTCGTATCACTAAAATTATTTCAATTAGTTATAAATATTGACTTTTGTTGCTGTAAATATGTATTTGTTATAGTTTTCCTTTCTGTAGCTAATTTTAGTAGCTATGTGTCTATAATGTTGTAGTGAGCCTAGATGATTTGTTGTATAATTTATTTATTTGAAGGGAATCAAGGAATGTGTATAATGTAAGCCTGTTTTTTGTGGGTCTCATTCTTTAATTATGAGGGTATAAAGTTCAATATGTATACAAGTTAACATCAAAACTTCAATATGTATACAAGTTAACATCAAAACTTCAATATGTATACAAGTTAACATCAAATTTAAGTTAATTCAAACTCATAAGTTTAATTTTCTCTTCTCTTTATTGGACAAAAATCATGAAGGCTGAGGCATACTGCTGCGGATGGAATGTCAAGACTTGCTGGCTTTGTTGTTGCCTTCCAGTTTGTTGTGTGGTAAGAGTTTCTGCAATTTTTTATTTTTTTTTTCAAGGAAAATATAAAATAATAATTATTATTGTTGATTCTATTGAAATCACTTCATCTTTGGATCACATTTTAACAAGGGTAATGATAAATAACACTATAACAAGGTTAATGAAATATTTGAGTCACATACTTTTGCTTTGTTGGATTAATTTAATTTGTGAAATAAAATAAATTCGTCTGAATGTATGGATGTAGAAATGTTGCTACTATTGTTCTTGTTCTGTTGCTGAAGAATCAGAGCCAAAAAAGAAATGCTGCACGTGCAAGAAATCCAAGAAGCCAGTGAAGAAAGAGAAGGTTGACGATGAGATATCGGTAAAGTTCATCGATAGAATTATTATTTTCTCCCCTTTTTCATGTGCTAAAATTTTCTGTTCTTACATTTATTGGTTTTGTATATGTTAAGCAAAGAGGAATTGGAGAAGACATTCAATCAAATGGTAAGTTAGAACGAGGTCTTGCTTCACTAACTTAATTCTTGTATCAAATTGATAGCTAACTTTACCTCAATATTTATCTTAGATCTGCTAACATGTTGTGTTTGTTTGTTTACCTTCTTAATTTCTAATTTAAATAGTTAATTCAGTTAAATGTTGATGGATGTCATGTAACATGATGCATGATGTCTAATGCCACAGGATCAAAAGGAGAACAGGCTGGGGAAGGTGGAGAAGAAATCTGAGGCAAAGAGAGAAGAGTGCTCAATAACTCGTAAAATGAATTGTGGGAAATGCAAATAATGAGAAATGCAAGAAGGTCCATCAATTACTCATCAGTTTCAAGTGCAATTTGTTATTCTGTTTGTATTAATTATCACTTAATCGGAAGCTTAATTTGATTCACTCTAGAGGCTNTTTTATTCAATTTTAGAATTTCTGGTGTTGCTTATGTGAAAAGCTAAATGTTTCTGTTGTGATAGGATTTCGATGTTCGAGAGTATGCAATCTCAGTGGCTGGGAGATTATCAGAAAAAAATCCTGCCTATGTTCTTCCCGCCCTTCGTCGTCATCTTATACAGTTATTGACATATTTAGACCAGAGGTAATGTTGATAGGGCTATAGACTTGGGATTTGGTTTGTCTTGTCCATTCAAGTCTTGAATACATCTTAATAGAAGCCATTGAGACGTTTTCGGTGGTTTGTTTTTCTGCTTTGATGAGAATTCTCAGATATTTTTATCTGAATAGATGAAAGCCTAACTTTTTGGCTTAAGTTTGAATCAGAATTGAATTAATTATTTCATTAAATTTTATTCTCTAAAATATCCTTACATAATTAATTTATTTATATTCTATCCATTTGAAATTATTTCTTCTACTGATTATAAATAATGTTAAAATCTCTATTATGAAATATTTTGATAGCATAATATTTTTTTATATCTTCATTTTTAATTCAATGACTACTCTATTACAAAGTTGACTAACAAAATTAAATTAAAAAAAACTGTGTATTATACAATCAGATGAATTTTTTTGTATTATATAATTAGTTGAATTTCGTACTAAAATAGTATTTTCTTTACTTCTAAAATGAATTATCTAAATAAAGTAATTGAGATTATAGCTTTTTTTTAGCCTTTTTTTAGATAAAATGCCATTTATCATCTGTAAAGATATATATGTTAAAATATTAGTTTTTAGAAATATTTGGTGTGTAAAAACAGACAATTTAGTATTTATGTTCAGATGTTGTAAAAATAAAAAGTCATTTAGATTCATACATCAAGTCTATCTAGATTTTAGACCAATTAAAATATTATCCGATTTTAGATGAAAAACAAACCTAACTTACAATTGTTGATGGCTATTTTTGAAATTATTTTTGTCAATTGTGTTTTGCTTTATCTGGGCTAGAGAAAAGAACATATATTATGCTTTTTTGAAGTTAAAGTGCCATATATTGACTTCTCTTGCGGCGTCAGCAGTGCAGATAACAAATGCAGAGAAGAAAGTGCGAAGTTACTTGGTTGCTTGATACGCAACTGTGAGAGGCTAATACGTCCATACATCACTCCAATACACAAGGTTTTGTCACTCATGTGCTACTTATGGTTATATCTCGTACTATTCATTCTTCCTTTCCTGAGAAGTTTTTTTTTTTTTTTTTTTAAATTTTTTATTAATAATATTTAATGCTCTTTTTCCTCCTTCATGTGGTGAGTATCTGGATTTTGCAGGCACTTTTGGCGAGACTTCTTGAGGGTACTGGGATCAATGCCAATAATGGCATTATTAGTGGAGTTCTTGTAACCGTTGGGGATCTTGCTAGAGTGGTGGGTAAACTTGTACTCGTAACTTTTATTTGAAATAATGCTTGAGTCAAGTTATAAATTGTGTTTAACTGGTACATGTTTGATTGAGAAGAACTCGAGTACACTAACCAACTTCAGAGCTGGCTGTTAAATTTCTCGCTCTCTTTGAGTGAGTTTGTAGTGAAGTCGTTGCATTCGTGTTTACCTTTCTCTTTGATTCTGACTTTTGGTTCACCCCTATGTAGAATATATTAAATGAAGAAACTTTTATTGTGTCTAATAAAAAAAATATTTTTTTAATCATTATCTGATGTTATAGTTTATTAGGGTATATGATAAGTATCCTAGCCTAATTGCAATACAATTAAGCTTATTCGGCTCACATAAAATGATTTCTGATAGGGTTTTGCACTCTTACTTTTGTTTAGGGTGGTTTTGGAATGAGACAGTATGTATCCGAAGTTATGCCTCTAATTGTTGAAGCTTTATTGGATGGAGCAGCTGTGGCAAAACGTGAAGTGGCTGTGACAACTCTTGGACAAGTTATCCAGAGCACTGGGTATGTGGGATGCCTCTTTTGTTGATTTATGGTCAATAATTTTCTTAAGAGTTAAATTTTGCGTCACTTTTGATAAAGATGGAGATTATGCACATTCACTTTCTGTTCAATGAACCAATTTTTGAAGTCACTTTTTAATAATTGATTCCCATATTTGATGACTCACGAATGAAATGTGTTTTTTCCTTCTACACTGATGCATTTTACATGTTTATGGATGCCTTTCTGCAAAATCAACTGTATAGGTAACATAGTACGATATTGGTTATGACATGGCAACAATTTTAACTAGGTGCATGGCAATCTTTTAGGGAATTAGGAAAATATTTTCTACTCCTTTAGTTGGAATAAATTCAGTACCCACTATGTAGACATTTTTGGTTTTAATGCTTGTAATATCCTCTATATGTACTTTTAATATCTGTTTTGTTTTACCATTTTGTGGTGGGCTGTTGGTTCTCCATCTTTGTATCTATCCATATGATTTAGTATGTTTAGTTCCATGTTTCTCATCCAATAAAAAAGGGTACTCCTAAAACATTTTGTTGTACGATTTTGGCAGGTATGCGATATCTCCATATAATGAATACCCACAATTACTTGTCTTGCTCTTGAAAATGTTGAATGGTGAGTTAGTTTGGTCTACAAGACGGGAAGTGTTAAAGGTATAATTTTGGACTGGAATGCTTTGTTATATCCTCTAAATGTGTTGCCATGCTAAAAGCATTTTTGGACACCACCAGGTGCTTGGGATTATAGGTGCTTTGGATCCTCATGTGCATAAAAGAAATCAGCAACTATCAGGGTCGCATGGAGAAGCTACCCGTGCTGCCAGTGATTCTGGCCAACACATTCCTTCAGTGGATGAGTTACCAATGGACCTTTGGCCATCATTCGCTACAACTGAAGATTATTATTCTACGGTAATATTTAAAAAATAAAATCATAGCAGTTATACCTGTTATGTAGTATTTTTTTCTAGCTCGTCTTAATTTCTCTATGAGCCCATGAATTTCAGGTTGCTATAAATTCTCTCATGCGAATTCTTAGGGATCCTTCGCTTGCTAGTTACCACCAAAAGGTGGTAGGATCTCTTATGTTCATATTTAAGGTATCTTTAATTTAAAGAATTCTATTTTCTTTCTCTGTTATTGTTATTTTCTTTATTGTCTTACATGATGTTTATTAATTTTATATGTTTCCTTGCGAGGTTAGTCAATGGGCCTTGGTTGTGTTCCATACTTACCAAAGGTTTGTCTTCTAACTTCTTAGTAATAATAAGCTCTCTTCTGCAAAACCATACTCTTTGGTAGGAACTTTAGTTTCCGGAGCATGATATATCATGTGAAAATTATTTTTTCATACTTTCTTTCTACTAAACAAGGAAAAAAAAAGTTCAAAATCTTGAAACTGTAGTATGTTTGTAATCTAAGGTAAGTATTTAGACGAATTAACATTTGCTGGAAAAAATGGGTATCTTTGAATGCCTATCCTTGATCTGAAACTGAGGATTTAAAATTTTGGGGGATAACCTTGTGTTTGGTGAAGTTTTGTTTTTGATTTTATTCTTGAATATTTCTTTTCCTTGTGCTGAAATTCATTATCTTTCTTGACAACTTTGATTGGGTTATGCTTGGTGACCTGTAGTTTCCCTTGGTCATTTTCCTGTAGGTGCTGCCTGATCTCTTTCTCACAGTTCGTACATGTGATGATTATCTGAAGGATTATATAACATGGAAGCTTGGAACTCTTGTGTCTATAGTACGACAGGTATATATAGATGTGAAATGTTTTGGCTCATTTAATTACTTTTTGGTTTTTATGGGTATCAGGATATATGGAATTCTATGTTCTTGTGCAGCACATTCGTAAATATTTGCAAGAATTGTTCTCTCTAATTTCTGAATTATGGTCATCCTTCAGTTTGCCAGCTACTAATCGTACTTCTCGTGGTCTTCCGGTATGTATATTTTCTGTGCGTTTTTTATCAGCAGTTATGATAATAATATGCATGTGTATTGTTTGATATATTTATGTGTTCCATTCTCAATGCTTCCTTGGATTCTTTCCCTTTTGTGCAGGTTCTGCATCTTGTGGAGCAGCTTTGCTTGGCCCTTAATGATGAGTTCAGAACACATCTTCCTGTTATTCTTCCATGTTGCATTCAAGTTTTAAGTGATGCTGAACGGTGCAATGACTACACCTATGTTCTTGACATTCTCCACACCCTTGAAGTGTTTGGTGGTTGGTTTTCTCTATCTCATGATAATTTGTTAATTATTTAACATCTTGCTCATCTGAACCGGTGTTTTTTTTTGGTCCAGTGATGAAGTATATAGTGAAAAGAATAATCATTTGTAGTTTGAACTTGGTACTAATTTTCAATCTAAAAGTAAAATGCCGTTTGGAATTAGTCATTCAATCTATCGACTTTATGTTAACCGTGGGTTACTTATCATGTTTAAAAAGAAAAAGTAAACACCATGAAATAAAAGAGAAATTTTTGTTCTCTCTTTTCTTTTAGTTTGACAGAAGAGTTAATTTATTTCATAGAATTTATGCCAAAAAAAAAAAAAAAACATCATTTGGATGTGTGGATCTGTGCTATTTGTTTTCTTTTTGTAGGGCCGAAGAAAGTCAAAAATTTGTTAGTATGGTATGACTTGAGTTTTATACTCTTCTGACTGATTACTGCTGGTGGTTGGACCTCAGAACTGTGGTGGACCTAGAATATTTGATTTAGGGAAACCAGTGTGTAAAAGAAATTACTGGAGGGATCATGATATGAAGAATTATAATTTAAGAAATATTCATATGCAGCTTTTTAGTTATTTAATTACTTCCTCTATTACCAATGTGGTTCTGCCATTAAAAGTCAATTAAGGTCATTTTGCCGTAGTGTTTACAACATTTGTGGTGCTTTAATGTGTTCTGAAGAAAAGGTGCTGAGGGCTTTTTGGTAGGTTTGGAGTGCTTCTTTTGTGTCGGCCTTGTGCCTCTTATTGAGGCATTTTTGTAGATTCTCTTAATTCTTAGTTTCTTATGTCTTGTGAGACTTGTGTATTGATTTTAAATATCACCTAATCAATTTTGGCCGTTATCTTCCACCAGAAAATATAAGAAAAAGAATAATTTGAGTCATTAGAAGAGAGCAGACAGAAGGCTTGCTTGAAGAAAAAATCTGTTTAAATAATTTCTAGTATGGAGCTTGGAAAGGCTCATTGGTTGGAATCATGATGTTAAATTCAAAAAATGATACAAGATAGGATCCGTTATGGAACTCGAGGGAGCTATAAAAATATCGCTTTGCTATATTTCAAGCTTGCATTCATGCAATGCCCCTCATTTTTGACATATTACGATTCGAAGTTGACCATTAGATCAGTGGACTGTGCATCATTGAGACCACATTTTCATGCATGATTAATAGACTTTGAGATGATAGTTGCAGGGTATATTCTTAACCATTCAAAGTCCATTTGTTTGATGATCCCCAAGTTGTGTCGTAATTAGTATAAAAACCATCGTGTTCATAGAGTCTATATATATATATATATATATATATATAAAGTTGCAACCTGGTAAAAGGTCTCATTGCAATTACATGATATAGGGACGCTGGATGAGCATATGCATCTGCTTCTTCCTGCACTTATTCGATTGTTTAAAGTGGATGCTTCTGTGGATATAAGGCGTGCAGCTATCAAAACTTTGACTAGATTGATACCTCGTGTGCAGGTTGGCACCTTAGCTTTGTCCAATTGATTCTAGAATAAGATTTCTTTGTATATTCGAATTTCACTTTCCCCCCCTGAATTTCTCTCAATTGTTTTTTTTTGGTGGTTCTTTTTTCATTTTTTGTTATTGCTTTTTCCCTTAGGTTACTGGTCATATATCTGCTCTTGTGCACCACTTAAAGCTGGTCTTGGATGGGTTAGTTTCCACTTCCCTAATTTCAATTATGTGATCAAAAAGCTTGCTTTTGTTTATGCTTATGTTTGTATTTGTGCTTAGGTGTAGTATCCAAGGGCTTAGGTTGAGAGGGATTAATCAGTAGGATAACTTTGTTTAATTGTTCCCAGTTGGGTTGAGATTCAAAAGCTGCCGTTAGTTTTTGTCAAGTGGAGAATTTTACTTGAGCAATTGGAGAGCATTTTTTTTTCTTCTTTTTTTAATAATAAATTGTTTAAACTTTGTATGCACAGAAAAAATGATTTGAATGAAGTGAACTTGTTGTCCACATAAATCTGATGGAATACAATGAGCAAAAAGGCCGGGAGATCTTTCTAACCAAAAGCTTAGGGTCCGTTTGGTTCATTTTTTTGATACTTTTTAGAATAATATTTAAAAAAAAGTTAAATTAGGTGGGTATTACGATTTAGGATTTGGAAATTAACAAAAATACCCCCTATGTTTGTTTATTTACTAAACACCCCTATAATAAAATATTAAAAGTTAACAAAAATACCCCCAACCCACCCATTAAATACGAACAGCCGCCACCACCTCCGGAGGGTGGTCGGAGTCGTCGTATCGACGCATTACCGGCTGGATCTTGCCGGTCGTGTGTCGATATGGCCTTTTCCAGCCAGATCCACGGTGAATCTGGCCAGAAAAAGCCAGATCTGGTCGCATTTGGTTGTCAACGACGGCCAAAGATGTGGCCGTCGTTGATGGTCAATGAAGACCATTTTTGTGCCGTCGTTGACGACTGGCTACAGCCAGATCTTTGGCCGTAGATCTGGCCAGAAAAGGCTAGATCGGCGCACTACCGGCTGAATTATACCAGATTCTGGCCAGCTTTCGGCAGTGGTGACCGGAATCTGGTAAATGTGTGTTGCTGGGGTGTTTTTGCAATTTTTAAAAAAATATTTGGGGGTGTTTAGTTAAATTAACAAATTTAGGGGGTTTAAAAAAATTGAATAATATAATAATATTTTGAGAATAAGTCAATTTTACTCTTTAACTTTATTGGGAAAACCCATAATAGTATTCGGAAGAGTGTAACAAACGGACCCTTAAGTCCCAAAAAAATCTAAAAATTAGAACCCTAGTGATGTTGGACAGGACAGAGAGATAGAAAGTGAAAGAACGGAAAAAGGGAGGAAATGGGAGAAAATTTAGGTAGATGATACAAAAAAGTAGTGATTAGAGAAGAGCAGAATCTATATAGGAGATAATCTTCATATACTTCTGTTTATCAAAACAAGTTGCCTTCAATTATTAACTTAAAGTCTATAAATATAATCCAAAGAAGATAACCTAATTCCTAGATAATGCTAAATTAGAACACATTGAAATCCTAAGATAAACGTAATCAAAATAACATTATTCCTCAAGTATTCTTTCCTAAACTTTTTGAATCATGTTACTGTTATCTATGCATCAGCTAGACAATCTTGTCTCTCTTTCACACACTTCTTCACAGGCTTCGGTTACAAAGCAATTTGAGGATTCCTTTCATTCTTTATGCGAAGGGATTGGGTTTCTGTTGTAACTTATTTAGTTTTCTGAAATCCTTAGTCTTTTTTTTTTTTTTTTTTGCCTTTTATTTTGTCAACTACAACTTCTTCTCTTTGCAATTAATACTTCTAGTTAAATCTTTCATAATTTATTAAAAAAATAGCTGCTTCCAAGTTTTGTTGGATGAGAATTAAGTGTCTTTTAGATATACAGAACAAAAAGCCATAAAGATGCCGAGAAATGATTTTGATAACCACATAGGATAGGAGTTTCACTTTGATGAGGCGAAGTCGAATTTTGGGATTCTGTTTAGGCTTTGTATTTTTGAATTATAAGTGCCTTTGCTTGTAACAACCATTTGGGGGAAGCAATAACTTGAAGGACAGAATGACCCTGATAGAATTAGACCCAAATAGCTTTTTCAAAGATTCTTTCTTTTCTTTAATTCCAGATACCTGTTAGGATCCCACATTGAAAGGGAAAAGGGTGGGCATGTGGGTTATAAAGGCTTGGGCACCCTCCTTTAGCAAGCCGGCTTTCCAAGGAGAGTTTTACCCAAACCCATGAAAGACCCATGGCCCTGCCCAAATTGTTGGGTTATTGGAGTGGGTTTTTATCAATACCCCAAATAGCTTTCGTGCATCCTCCAAATGCATTGAAATTTAATGAGGATTGAGAGACAAGACTTTGGAATGACCTAACCATAACTTTAAAGCTACAGAATATTGAAGAAACAAAAGATTATAGTTTCCTACTTCCTTCCTACCCTTAAACACTTCAGTTTGGAGAAAGATAAATCACAAGCCATTTTGATTGAATCACATCTATTGTATTGAACTTCCTCATGAGTTAACAGCCAAGACAGAAGTTGAACTTTAGATGAAACTTTTGCCTTCCTTCTAAGCTGTAAAAGTGGAAATTATACCAAGAAGCATCATTGATTGACCAAATAAAGTATGTTCAAAGTAAAATACCCTGATGGTTCTAGATTTCATGCTTTATGTTCCTCTTTCATATCATCCAGATGATGTTCTCTATTTGAGGCAGAAGGGATGTTAACTATCTTCCTCATCTTTTAAGTCTAAAAAATTCAAAATTCCACCCAAATGATTTATCAGATAAAACCAGTCTACTCTCAACCTTGTTTAATTTATTTTTGCTCTAATTTTGTCGTGATTGCTGAAATTGGTTGCATGGTTACAACTATGTTGTTTTCTTAATCAGGCCTTTATATTGACCATTAAGAGGTAGTTGGTATTGGGCTTGATTTGATTTATTTTCTTTTTCCTTTGGTATACAAATTTGGACAATTCTTAAGGTCATATGTGTGCTAGATTCTTTTCTAGGTGCTGATTTAAGTTTGTATGGTATATTGAATTTGCCAATGCTGGACTTGTCTATATGGTAGATACCTACTTTTTTATTTTGTTTCATCTTCAACTTCCAACTTTGTGGATTTGTGATTTATAGGAAGAATGATGAGCTCCGAAAGGACGCTGTTGATGCACTTTGTTGTTTGGCTCATGCCCTTGGAGAGGACTTCACTATCTTTATCCCATCAATACACAAACTTCTGTTGAAATATCGGTTACGGGTACATATCTTATTTTGCCACATTCATTTTTCATCTGAGGAACTTTTCTTGCCTTTCTACATTGAGTATGAAGGTACTTCTGTTTTCAGCATAAGGAATTTGAGGAGATTGAAGGACGCTTAAGGAGACGCGAACCTCTAATTTTGGGGAGTATCGCTGCACAAAGATTAAGTCGACGAGTTCCAGTTGAAGTTATTAGTGACCCATTAAATGATGTTGAGAGTGACCCTTATGAAGATGGGACCGATGTGCAGAAACAACTTAGAGGCCATCAGGTAATAATTCTCTTGCAATTTTGTGCTTAGTAACATACATTGCTGATTCTGTTACATCTAAGCTGTACGAAAGCTTAGGCAAGCCCTGTCTAGGTGACAGCTAAGGCTCCGAGACATAAGCCTTGGTGCCTAGGCAATTGCCTCCTGTTTCATGCATCATATGCACGGGTGTAGCCAGAATATACAATAGGACAGGCCAATTGACTTGTTTTTTTCAGTAAAAGGCTTACTCATTAGTACTTTCCATCTACAAGAGAATTTTATTCGTAAAACAATATGATAAGAAGTTTTATTAACCAAAACTTGGTTTTTTGTTTTGCAAATTTTCACTTATAATACAAATCTACCATTTCTTATATATAAAAAAAAGAACAAGAAAAAGAAAACAATTGTTATTGCTATAAAATAGAAAATAGTATGTTAGAAATAATTACGTTCTGATGGGAAAATTTCATTGACTTCCCCCACAGTTCGGCTAAAATAATGTGGACCTCACTAGTTTTGAAATTTTTCAGACTTTCCCTTGCATTTTGAAAAGTGTCTTCGCCCTCTTTGTCAGAGATATATGCTAAAGTTTTATAAATTTTATCAAATACTTTCTTTGCGAGGCAGGTTTTTGCATATTTTTCCTATCAGAGGGTCCACCTATAATTAAGTCAAACCTCAGGAGAAGTCAATGAAATTTTGACCTATTCACTGATCTATATGTTTCGACATGTCTCTTTGTCACTTGTTGCTAATTAAATTGAGCTTGCATACACAGTTTTAGTTAATCAGTGGTATTGCAAACTTTTTTTATTTTTTATAATTAAAATGAGTTTCTTGTAGGTAAATGATGGCCGTTTACGCACTGCTGGAGAGGCTTCTCAGCGAAGTACCAAAGAAGACTGGGCAGAATGGATGAGGCATTTTAGCATTGAGCTCTTAAAGGAATCACCTTCTCCAGCATTGCGAACCTGTGCAAGACTGGCACAATTACAGGTATGGTTATAGTTGTGACCTGCATTTGTGTGCCTTTGGATTTTAGGTTCTGATCCTCAGCTTCTGCAGCCTTTTCTTGGGCGGGAGTTGTTTGCTGCTGGTTTTGTTAGTTGTTGGTCACAACTGCATGAATCTAGTCAGAAACAGTTAGTTCGGAGTTTAGAGATGGCTTTTTCCTCTCCAAATATTCCTCCTGAAATTCTGGCAACACTTCTTAACTTGGTATGTCTGTTTTACCCATGTATTATATCTGTTATTAGTGTTAGATACTGGAGTCTCAGAGGAGATAAAATTATTACTTGAAGTGCTTCAGGAAAATAATTTATTTGCCAAATGTTGCAATATAACCTCATAATCTATGTTTGTTCTGATTGTTTCAGTAATTTTAAAATCTGAAAATCAAAATGGAAAAATATAGAATGTAGGAAGAGAAGGTGAAAAACAAAAAGAAAAAGATAAATAGACAAGAAAAAATCTAGGAAAGTTAAGAGAGAAATTCAGAGCGAAAATAAGTAGGGAACAGTATTTTTAATTAAGCTTCAAAATATGTCTTTCCAAATAACCCTAAGCCTTTTTATGGGCTTAGAATGAAAATCCTAATTGTCTATGAAAATGTAATTAAAAAAGGAAATAACACAAATAAAAATAATAATAAACTTAGGAGTCCTAAATNCATGTATTATATCTGTTATTAGTGTTAGATACTGGAGTCTCAGAGGAGATAAAATTATTACTTGAAGTGCTTCAGGAAAATAATTTATTTGCCAAATGTTGCAATATAACCTCATAATCTATGTTTGTTCTGATTGTTTCAGTAATTTTAAAATCTGAAAATCAAAATGGAAAAATATAGAATGTAGGAAGAGAAGGTGAAAAACAAAAAGAAAAAGATAAATAGACAAGAAAAAATCTAGGAAAGTTAAGAGAGAAATTCAGAGCGAAAATAAGTAGGGAACAGTATTTTTAATTAAGCTTCAAAATATGTCTTTCCAAATAACCCTAAGCCTTTTTATGGGCTTAGAATGAAAATCCTAATTGTCTATGAAAATGTAATTAAAAAAGGAAATAACACAAATAAAAATAATAATAAACTTAGGAGTCCTAAATCCTACAGAAGCATCTAACATATTTACCCCTAGTGGTCTCTTGAATTGAGATCTCCATTAAAATGGTTGCCAGTAAACATGCAAAGTGTTTCGTTGAGGAAAGACATTCAGTATTGAAGAGTGCTTGTGGTCCTGAATCTTAATTTATATAAGCTTAAGCTGTCAAGTATTCATATGTTTCTGGAAAGAAGAAAAAAGAAGGAATAAATTCACATGCCAAATGTTGTTTGCCCGTTTTAACTTCATAGCCTTCAAAAGAAATTCTGAGCAGACATATAGTTTGTGGACGGGCAAGCCTTTAAGCACTGACAAAGCTAACAGTCTCAAAAAAGGATGAGGCAAACTGAAGATGGAAAAATGACACTATTTTTCCCACTCGTGTTGTAAGACGTTCCTGCAATTGTTGAAAATTTTCTACTGAAAACATCAACCAAAAGGGTCTTGGCTCATTATATTTCTTGAACTCGAAAAAAGCACTTCTTTTTACCACCATGTGACCTGCTAATCAAACAGAAACATCTTAAAATTTTCCGGCATTATTGAGAGCAACCTGCACGTTTTCTTGGTTAGAGACTAGAATCATTTGTAATGACCAAATTTGATTTTGTGCATACCTGTGCATGCTCAAAAGCTCATTTGTTTTTCCCCGTATAATCTCAATCCATAATGGCTGAAATTTTGAAACTTAGTGGATCTCACCATTTTTAATTGTTTTACTTGAGAGTTATTGACCTCATACTGCAGTGTAGGCGGACTTCATACAAAACTTAGTATTGAGTTATGTACTCCGTTCTAAGAGTGTTAATAAAATTTCCTTTTCTTACATGCAATATAATTGTAAAAAGAAGAAACTCTATGAAGTCTTTTTACTCCAGTAATCTTGTGTTTCTTGTGCATGAGACTAATTTTATACTTCTTCTTTATTTTTTTTCCTTATATATGTGTGTTTATGAACTTATCTTGCAGGCAGAGTTCATGGAACATGATGAGAAACCTCTTCCTATAGACATCCGTCTCCTTGGGGCTCTTGCAGAAAAGGTGTGATCTAAAAGACATGCGATAAATTTTGAATCTATATGTTTCTATTATAAATTTTAAATCTGAGATTAAATTTATATTCTATGTTTCTTTTTGGCCTCTGCATCTCAGTGTCGTGCATTTGCCAAGGCTTTGCATTACAAAGAAATGGAATTTGAGGGTGCACTTTCCAAGAAGATGGATGCTAATCCTGTTGCTGTAGTTGAAGCACTTATACATATAAATAATCAGTTACATCAGCATGAGGTTCAGAGACAACTGATATTTACTGATTTTGTTGTTTTTGCTATTACATTGATGGCACTTTGATCTTTCTCGTTATTTAAAAAAAAAATTTGGTCCTTAGGCTGCAGTCGGAATACTGACCTATGCTCAACAAAACCTGGGTGTTCAATTGAAGGAGTCATGGTATTGTTTTCTCTGTCCCTCAAATAAAGCATGCATGGGTTCTCATTTTATTGCAGTTTTAACCTTGTTTCTTGGTTTTCTTGTGTCATTATACTTATTTTTATCTTACATTGATAACATGGTAGAAAGAAGATCCTTTCTTTTTTCTCAATACAAATAATAAAAGATTACTCCTTTTGTTCTTCATATTTAGGTATGAGAAATTGCAGCGGTGGGATGATGCTCTCAAGGCTTACACTGTCAAAGCTTCTCTAGCATCAAATCCACATCTTGTATTGGAAGCTACTTTAGGTCTGTATCAATTGTATTGTGGTGGTTTCTGCTAATATTTGGTTATTTTTCTTTTCTAGAAATGTATGGTAAATACTTTCTGTATTTTGGAGATATTCTGCATGATAATAAGATGAGTGGTCTAATATCTAAAGAACTTTGATTTGACATTTGATATTCAAAGTAATGCAACAGACTACTGTTTCTCAATTTTGGTTCGCTGAATGGTTCTGTAATGATAATGTGTCACGACGTAGTTCTATTGGTGCCAACCTGTGCTATCAAATTTGCTTATCAATCCTAAAATACCGAATCTGCCTGCTGCAATCTTGTTCAGGCATTAACTAGTCCAGGATAAGGAGAATCTTACTCCTTATTTTGAATAAATAATTAAAAGAAGTCATTGTGGGCCATTGCAAGCTTTTCATATTATAATCATACTTTTTCCCCAGTTCCATTGAACACTGTCGTTGATGCCAACACTGTCGTTGCCTAAAGAAGGGTGTCTGTGGGACCTATGCCATCTCAATATGTTTAATATGCTCTACCACCCTTGAAATTGACATAACTATCAAGCCTGAGTGGAAGTAATTTGGAATAGTGAGATGTAACAAAACTCTTAGGTCCAATTAAGAAATGCTTGTTTGGTGGTTCCATTAAAACATTATCAATGGTTCCTGGTTTGGTTGGGAGAAAAATCTACCATGCTATGTGGCTATCGATGTTATGAATTTGTGTTGCAGTCGACCATCAGATTATTGGCACATGAGCTGGTCAGTGTAAGCCCACACTTGACAATTTGGTGGCTACCTTGCCCCATTAATAAGGCAAAACAGTCGATCATGTTTTCATATATCTCTGGTAGATATCAAATGCAAATGTATGTCAAATGAATCTATTGAACTTAGATATGTGCTTTCTTTCTTGATATTGATACTTTTGAAACAGTTCATTTAAAGATAGGATGTCATCTTCAGCCCTTCTTTTTTGAGACATTTCCTCAGAATATCTTGCTCTTACAAAGTTGAGTTTGTGAGATCATTGTGTTCTGTATTAATTTCTTGAAACAATATGTTTTGTTATGTTTTGTAGGGCGTATGCGTTGCCTTGCAGCATTGGCTCGATGGGAAGAACTTAACAACCTGTGCAAAGAGTATTGGACTCCAGCTGAGCCAGCTGCGCGGCTAGAAATGGCACCAATGGTTGTATTTAATGTTTTTGGTGATGTCATCATTATTTTGGCTCATGCTTATTGTTATATTGTTCTTGTCCCAGGCTGCAAATGCTGCTTGGAATATGGGGGAGTGGGATCAAATGTCAGAATATGTGTCTCGCTTAGATGATGGTGATGAAACAAAACTCCGGGTTCTGGGTAACACTGCTGCTAGTGGTGATGGAAGCAGTAATGGTACATTTTTTAGAGCTGTATTATTAGTTCGAAGAGGAAAGGTATTCTGTATACTTGATCTATATTATCCTTAATTATATTCATTTTCCTCTCTCTGCATTGTTATTTATTTTTGTACTTTTTTTCTTGTAGTATGACGAAGCACGTGAATATGTTGAGAGAGCTAGGAAATGCCTTGCTACGGAGCTTGCTGCTTTGGTCAGTTTCATAACTCCATAAGTCTTTGCTTAGTTGAAGGTTTTTTTTTTTTTTTTTTTTCTCGTGGTAAACAGGGTAGTATTTAAAGACACTGGACATCTTGGTCAAATTAACATTGATGCCTTGTTAAGTGATATGTAAACCCAAAAACTACTGATGATAGTTAACTGTTCAAGAATAATATTGAAGTTCTTAGATAAGAAATTCGATATGTAAGNCAACAAAACCTGGGTGTTCAATTGAAGGAGTCATGGTATTGTTTTCTCTGTCCCTCAAATAAAGCATGCATGGGTTCTCATTTTATTGCAGTTTTAACCTTGTTTCTTGGTTTTCTTGTGTCATTATACTTATTTTTATCTTACATTGATAACATGGTAGAAAGAAGATCCTTTCTTTTTTCTCAATACAAATAATAAAAGATTACTCCTTTTTGTTCTTCATATTTAGGTATGAGAAATTGCAGCGGTGGGATGATGCTCTCAAGGCTTACACTGTCAAAGCTTCTCTAGCATCAAATCCACATCTTGTATTGGAAGCTACTTTAGGTCTGTATCAATTGTATTGTGGTGGTTTCTGCTAATATTTGGTTATTTTTCTTTTCTAGAAATGTATGGTAAATACTTTCTGTATTTTGGAGATATTCTGCATGATAATAAGATGAGTGGTCTAATATCTAAAGAACTTTGATTTGACATTTGATATTCAAAGTAATGCAACAGACTACTGTTTCTCAATTTTGGTTCGCTGAATGGTTCTGTAATGATAATGTGTCACGACGTAGTTCTATTGGTGCCAACCTGTGCTATCAAATTTGCTTATCAATCCTAAAATACCGAATCTGCCTGCTGCAATCTTGTTCAGGCATTAACTAGTCCAGGATAAGGAGAATCTTACTCCTTATTTTGAATAAATAATTAAAAGAAGTCATTGTGGGCCATTGCAAGCTTTTCATATTATAATCATACTTTTTCCCCAGTTCCATTGAACACTGTCGTTGATGCCAACACTGTCGTTGCCTAAAGAAGGGTGTCTGTGGGACCTATGCCATCTCAATATGTTTAATATGCTCTACCACCCTTGAAATTGACATAACTATCAAGCCTGAGTGGAAGTAATTTGGAATAGTGAGATGTAACAAAACTCTTAGGTCCAATTAAGAAATGCTTGTTTGGTGGTTCCATTAAAACATTATCAATGGTTCCTGGTTTGGTTGGGAGAAAAATCTACCATGCTATGTGGCTATCGATGTTATGAATTTGTGTTGCAGTCGACCATCAGATTATTGGCACATGAGCTGGTCAGTGTAAGCCCACACTTGACAATTTGGTGGCTACCTTGCCCCATTAATAAGGCAAAACAGTCGATCATGTTTTCATATATCTCTGGTAGATATCAAATGCAAATGTATGTCAAATGAATCTATTGAACTTAGATATGTGCTTTCTTTCTTGATATTGATACTTTTGAAACAGTTCATTTAAAGATAGGATGTCATCTTCAGCCCTTCTTTTTTGAGACATTTCCTCAGAATATCTTGCTCTTACAAAGTTGAGTTTGTGAGATCATTGTGTTCTGTATTAATTTCTTGAAACAATATGTTTTGTTATGTTTTGTAGGGCGTATGCGTTGCCTTGCAGCATTGGCTCGATGGGAAGAACTTAACAACCTGTGCAAAGAGTATTGGACTCCAGCTGAGCCAGCTGCGCGGCTAGAAATGGCACCAATGGTTGTATTTAATGTTTTTGGTGATGTCATCATTATTTTGGCTCATGCTTATTGTTATATTGTTCTTGTCCCAGGCTGCAAATGCTGCTTGGAATATGGGGGAGTGGGATCAAATGTCAGAATATGTGTCTCGCTTAGATGATGGTGATGAAACAAAACTCCGGGTTCTGGGTAACACTGCTGCTAGTGGTGATGGAAGCAGTAATGGTACATTTTTTAGAGCTGTATTATTAGTTCGAAGAGGAAAGGTATTCTGTATACTTGATCTATATTATCCTTAATTATATTCATTTTCCTCTCTCTGCATTGTTATTTATTTTTGTACTTTTTTTCTTGTAGTATGACGAAGCACGTGAATATGTTGAGAGAGCTAGGAAATGCCTTGCTACGGAGCTTGCTGCTTTGGTCAGTTTCATAACTCCATAAGTCTTTGCTTAGTTGAAGGTTTTTTTTTTTTTTTTTTTTCTCGTGGTAAACAGGGTAGTATTTAAAGACACTGGACATCTTGGTCAAATTAACATTGATGCCTTGTTAAGTGATATGTAAACCCAAAAACTACTGATGATAGTTAACTGTTCAAGAATAATATTGAAGTTCTTAGATAAGAAATTCGATATGTAAGCAATAACGGTTTACTTTAGATTCAAATTTTTCTGATACTTTGTGTGTGTGTGTGTGTGTGTTTATATTTTGGGACTGTTACCTCTCCTGAGTTTTCTCAAAAATACATTGAAAACCACAAGTTTTCTCAAAGAATTACAAACATATATGGCAGAGGTTTGCTATTGAATTGACTATTATAATGATTGAGAGTTCTTGGCTTGTATATGGAATTTCAGTTGTTAAATAGGGTCATCATCTATTGTCGCTCACTTCCAACTTGGTGTTAACAATTCAAATTTGTAATGTTAAAATTTGATTTTTCCAGTGGTGTATACTTATATATCATTATCCAGTGCTATATACTTGTACATCATCATCTAGGGGTATATACACTATGTGAGTGACCATGTGAGAGACTTTAAAGCATTATTTCTCAATTCTTACATTCTATTTTTTGGGTGTTATGTCGTCTAAGTATTTTCTCTTGTTTAGGTTCTGGAAAGCTATGAGCGTGCATATAGCAATATGGTCCGTGTTCAGCAGCTATCAGAACTAGAGGAGGTTTGTAAACTTTCTTTCTCTCCTGCGGATGGAGAGGGGATATTTCTTTTGCTAATGTAGCAATCATTTTTCCAAAGCTTGGATGATACATATAAGTAGTAACATATGGAATGGGATGGTTTACACAGGTAATTGATTACTGTACTCTTCCTGGGGGAAATCCTGTTGCTGAAGGGCGGCGGTCTATAATCCGCAATATGTGGACTGAGCGGATACAAGGAGCAAAACGTAATGTTGAGGTATATGCTTTACAGTTCTAGTTCTGTTTCTTTCTTTTTTCTTCCCATTGCTCTCGAACAGAATACAGTTGATATAATTGCCAAAAGCAGATTATGTCTGAATAAGAGTGATATCTTAAGTTTGAAGTATTTTTGAATAATAATTGCATTGATTCCCTCCAATCTTTCTTTTGCTTGAATGTCTAGGTCTGGCAAGTACTCTTGGCTGTTAGAGCTCTTGTACTACCACCCACTGAAGACATTGACACTTGGCTCAAGTTTGCTTCTCTTTGTCGGAAAAATGGACGAGTTAGTCAGGCTAGATCTACTTTGGTCAAACTCTTACAGGTCTGAAATCATGCATTTGTAACCCGCGAGATTCTAATTTTTGATGTTTTTTCATACTTTTTCCTACTGATTAATTTAACTTAAATTTCAAATCATGTATTTAGTATGACCCTGAAACCTCTCCCGAAAACGTACGGTATCATGGGCCTCCTCAAGTAATGCTGGCATACTTAAAATATCAATGGGCACTTGGGGATGATCTTAAGCGAAAGGAAGCATTTACTAGGCTTCAGGTATAGCGTATTCCTCTCTGGTAGTATCTTGATTTTCTGAATTTCTTTACCTGTTTGAAGGAATATCTGTAAAGTAGTTTCTGATCTTTTTTCTATTTTGACCTCTATCTAGTGGACTTCTTGTTCACATGTGAATTAATTTTATTGTAATTTCCTATCATAAGAAAATATAGATATCTCTTGGCTTATATAAATGCTTGCAAGCCAATGTAGACACCGATACACTATTACCACTTTATGAACAAATAGAAGACTACGTTTAATAAGCACTTCTTTCTCCTAGCATTATAGCTACTCATATCATATTTTAATTGTCATGTTTTATACTTTTTTGGTTGCAAACCTGCTGTTGTAGAAATTGGCTATGGAGCTTTCGAATGCCCCACATATTCAACCAGTTGCTGCAACTGGCTTAACCAGTGGTACTGTTACAACTGTTCCCTTTGTTGCCCGTGTATACCGTAGACTTGGAACTTGGCAATGGGCCCTTTCTCCAGGATTGGATGATGAATCTATACCAGGTAGTTAAACACTTTAACCTAATAATTTGTTTTTTACTGAGAAAATGTTTTTGATCTTCTGTTTCTGTTATAGAAATTCGTGCAGCCTTCAGGAATGCCACTCAGTGTGCTGTAAAATGGGGGAAAGCATGGCATACATGGGCATTATTTAATACAGCAGTGATGTCTCATTATACCATAAGAGGTTTCCCTTCGTTTGCCTCACAGTATGTTGTTGCAGCGGTCAATGGATATTTTCATTCAATAGCATGTGCAGCACATGCTAAAGGTGTCGATGATAGTTTACAGGTAATGATATTTCACATTCCAAATTTTGTATGAATGCTTTGTTTTCTTCATTGATAATTCGGTTTTTTAGAACTAAACTTTATTGAACTGTTTGAGCTTGCCTTGGTAAAAAATTCTGCAAGACTAAGCAAATAGAGCTTGAGCTTTAATTTGATGCTGGTTGACTTATTGAATGCAAATTCAAATAATTTATTACTTTTATATTAGTTATACATGTTAAATAGAATAAAAAGACATTATGTTTACATTATTTATTTATTTATTTATTTTTTAATAGTAAACAAAAATATATGTATTGATGATAAAAATGAGTTGAGCAATAAAATCCCCAAGGCCAAATTAATTGATAACTGCCATCCTCATTTAGATGAATATAGAAAAGTGAAGAATCATGAAAATCCTAAGAGACCGAGGCCCAAAGAGATGCTAAGAGCCGAATCCTTTCCCATAAATCGCTAACATCTTCGCCTATTTTTTCTTAAAAAATGTGAACATTCCTTTCTTTCCAAATCACCCAAAGTATTGCAAAAACAATACAACTCCATAGGGTCTTGGCTTGCTTTCCTCTCTGAAAGGCAAAATCCTTCTCCATAAGCAAATCTCCACAGTTTTTGGGGATAGCCCAGCTAATTTTAGCTTCCTTGCATAAGTTAGCCCATAAACTTCCTACCACTTGACAATGCAAAAATAAATTGTCAATTGTCTCCAAGCATTTCTTACAGAAAACACACCAAGAAGGAGAAAGGTGCAAGTTAGCCAACTTTCCTTCCACAAAATCAGCTGTATTTACTCTACCATGAGCCAGAGTCCAAGTGAAAAATTGAAATTTAGGTGGTACTTTAGCCTTCCAAATTAAAATGAATTGCTTTAAAGTATCATGGTGGTTTTCTTCGCTTAAAATTCTAGCATAAGATTTACAAGAGTAATTTCCACAACCCACCAGCTTCTACTCTCTTCTATCGTCTTTGTTTCATCGATGACAACTAGACCAAGAATTCACTTAATTTCATAAAGTCTTAATTTCTGTGTCTTTAAGGTTTCTATTAAAGTTGAATTTCCAATCCCAGCTAAGATTAGTGGAAGAAGAAGCAATCATCTCTTGAATAGAAGCATTCTTCCCTCTGCATGGTCTATATAACCTGGGGAAAAGTTCATAAAATGGTTTATCTTCAACTCATTTATCCTCCCAAAAGTGGATAGTCTTTCCATTTCCACTTTTGTGATCAATGAACTTAGAGTACTCCTTAGATATTGCTTTCCAAGAGCCTGTAAGAGAACCCTAGGAAATCACTTTTGAATCCCATCCATTTTTGTTTGGTTGCCATACTTACCTTTAATGACAAGGATTTGCTTTTCTAAAGGATATCTCTAAAGCCATTTTGCTTAAGAGCTTATTTCTTTGCTCCAAGTTCCCAATTCCAAGCTCTCCTCTATCCTTTGGTCTTGCCATATTGCTCCATGCTGTTAGATGAGAATCATTATCGCTCCCAAAACCGTCTCATAAAAAATCTCTCATGATCTTATGAATCCTTGTAGCTACCCTTCAGTGATCTTAAACAAGGACATAAAGTAGATGGGGATTGCTCTCAAAACCGAGTCCATCAAAGTAATTCTTCCTCCTTTAGATAGAAAGGCTTTTTTCCTTCCCCCAAGTTTTTTCTCAGTTCTTTCTATCACTGGATCCAGAAACTTGAACTTATTGGATTATCGCCTAGGGGTAGACCCAAATACATTTTTGCATATTTAATACAATTGAATTATTGGATCTGTTGCCCTAGCTCCTTTTGTGCGCGAACCTTTACTAACAGGGTTCAAGTCTACATTTTTAATCTCAAGGTTTTTGCTTTTGTTTATTATTTATTTTATTTTTAAGCGTAGCTTGATAGACCAAGTGTTTAGCTTGGCTTGTTTGCACCTTTAATTAATAGTAGTTGTGGAAGTTTTATTGCCAATGCCTATATATTAAGAATCATTTCATCTTCACATGCACTTTTGGATACAACCCTTTCTTTTTCGCTATGTCAAAGGCTCTAGAATACTTACAATTATTTCTTACTATTTGCTTTAGGATATACTCCGTCTTCTCACATTGTGGTTCAACCATGGAGCTACTGCTGATGTTCAAATAGCTCTACAGAAAGGATTTGCACATGTTAATATCAACACATGGCTGGTTGTTTTACCTCAAATAATTGCCAGGATACATTCAAACAACCATGCTGTGAGAGAACTGATACAATCACTTTTGGTGCGAATAGGGCAAAGTCATCCTCAGGTTTGTTTCTGACGGTCTGTGATTCAGAAATCATCACTTTAGGATGTTCTTGGTAGTGATGAAGGGATGCATGATGATATTGAAATCTTCTTGGGATTGTTAAACTGAGGGCTTCTTTCTCTTTCTCTTTCTAATTTAATGTACTCATTCCACCATCACTAGTGCAAGTATTTAACTATTCCGAAAGCACTTATTATATACTTATAGAATTGATACTTTTGGTGGGTAATCCTCTGATTCTTGCAGCCTTTTTTTGTGTATGGTAGAATCTATGCGCTCCTGAGGTGGAGTACAAATTTTATGAAGTGACAATATCTTTCTCTTTTTAAAGTAGTTGGTTGTTTAGGATAATTATCTTTTATTGTGCTATATACACCGGTTTTGGTATCTACGTCGTGTCTTCCTGTCGCTCTGATTTAATCCATGAGAGGGTAGTGTCAAAGGACAGTGCTATATTCAATTGTGTCGCTAATATTTTACTGTATAAATACATGAGTGCATACATACATCTGCACATAAGATCAGAAGAATGTAGTTAAGAATCACTATGGAATCTAGATTAATGGAAGGATTTTTTTTGGTAATCAGTGCATAATTTAGAGGAGCTGTCCGACATGTCTGGGAAATCAGGATAAAATATGAAGATAATTTTTAAGACCTTGCAGGTTGCATGGTACATAAAGTCTGTGAAGTTGTACATTGTAGATCTTACTTCTTTGAGAACGTTAGTTAATGGTAGGTTGAGATTGGTTAGAGTCTAACGTGTTGTAAGTTTAGTTAATGATATGTGGATTAGATTGGTTAGTGTCCGATTTGTGATAAGAAAAATCTATCTAAATTCAATTCCATGGAGAGCCGTGGGAATGGTTTCCTTGGAAGGTGAATTGATGATCTATTATTTGAATATGTTTCTGTTGAGTGGAGAGTCCTCTTGGCTGGGTTCTCGTCCGTATTTGTTGAGATCTATGGTTCAAATGGTACAAAATTGCTTTAGTAGTTTGGGTTTCTCGAGGAAAAAGGTGATTCGTCCCTTTAGCGTGATATTATTCTTTGTAGAGGGGAGAGTCCTTTGAAGGTCTTAAAGTTTTCTTAGGCTTAAAGTTTAATTTGCATGGTTGTAATATTGTTTTGTGTTAATCTTATATGTAGTTGGTTATCAACTTTAATGTTGCTTGAAATTTTATTTCCCTTGATAACTTGGCATCTAACATTGCTGAAAATTCAATTACTCTCTCAGGCTCTTATGTACCCTCTTTTAGTGGCATGTAAATCAATAAGCACTTTACGTAGAGCTGCAGCACAAGAAGTGGTCGACAAAGTTAGGCAGCATAGTGGTGTGCTTGTGGATCAGGTCATATAATTAACTTATATTTATTTGTCTCTTCTTTATTACTTTTATCTTATAAGTTGTTTTTCCATGCAGGCACAACTTGTATCGAAGGAACTAATCAGAGTTGCAATACTTTGGCATGAAATGTGGCATGAAGCACTGGAAGAAGCTAGCCGTTTATATTTTGGTGAACATAATGTGGAGGGGATGCTGAAAGTGTTGGAGCCATTACATGAAATGCTTGAGGAAGGGGCTGTCAGGGAAAATACCACTATAAAAGAGAGATCGTTCATAGAGGTTATATAAAATTTTCTGTGCCAGTTGTTACAATTTTGTCCATTATGACAATGCATGTTGAGTCATTGAGGCCTATCCAACTCCCTAAACATGTGAAACATATATTATTAAATCATAATCTGGAATTTTAATCTAGGATTCTGATAGGAACCCACTCCAATAACTCAATAATTGGGCTGGGCCATGGGTCTTTCATGGACTTGTGTAGAACTCTTCTTGGAAAACCGGCTTTCCAAGGGAGGGTGCCCAAGCTCTTTATAGCCTACATGCCCATTCTTTTCCCTTAAAATGTGGGATCCTAACAGATTCATATACTTTTGAGTGCTGGTTTTTGGAGCTGACGATGTATAATCAGACACCAAACTGTTGCTAGGAATTATTTCCTTAATTTGGGAATAATTCACTTAATTTCATAAAGTCTTTTAATTTCTGTGTCTTTAAGGTTTCTATTAAAGTTGAATTTCCAATCCCAGCTAAGATTAGTGGAAGAAGAAGCAATCATCTCTTGAATAGAAGCATTCTTCCCTCTGCATGGTCTATATAACCTGGGGAAAAGTTCATAAAATGGTTTATCTTCAACTCATTTATCCTTCCAAAAGTGGATAGTCTTTCCATTTCCACTTTTGTGATCAATGAACTTAGAGTACTCCTTAGATATTGCTTTCCAAGAGCCTGTAAGAGAACCCTAGGAAATCACTTTTGAATCCCATCCATTTTTGTTTGGTTGCCATACTTACCTTTAATGACAAGGATTTGCTTTTCTAAAGGATATCTCTAAAGCCATTTTGCTTAAGAGCTTATTTCTTTGCTCCAAGTTCCCAATTCCAAGCTCTCCTCTATCCTTTGATCTTGCCATATTGCTCCATGCTGTTAGATGAGAATCATTATCGCTCCCAAAACCGTCTCATAAAAAATCTCTCATGATCTTATGAATCCTTGTAGCTACCCTTCAGTGATCTTAAACAAGGACATAAAGTAGATGGGGATTGCTCTCAAAACCGAGTCCATCAAAGTAATTCTTCCTCCTTTAGATAGAAAGGCTTTTTTCCTTCCCCCAAGTTTTTTCTCAGTTCTTTCTATCACTGGATCCAGAAACTTGAACTTATTGGATTATCGCCTAGGGGTAGACCCAAATACATTTTTGCATATTTAATACAATTGAATTATTGGATCTGTTGCCCTAGCTCCTTTTGTGCGCGAACCTTTACTAACAGGGTTCAAGTCTACATTTTTAATCTCAAGGTTTTTGCTTTTGTTTATTATTTATTTTATTTTTAAGCGTAGCTTGATAGACCAAGTGTTTAGCTTGGCTTGTTTGCACCTTTAATTAATAGTAGTTGTGGAAGTTTTATTGCCAATGCCTATATATTAAGAATCATTTCATCTTCACATGCACTTTTGGATACAACCCTTTCTTTTTCGCTATGTCAAAGGCTCTAGAATACTTACAATTATTTCTTACTATTTGCTTTAGGATATACTCCGTCTTCTCACATTGTGGTTCAACCATGGAGCTACTGCTGATGTTCAAATAGCTCTACAGAAAGGATTTGCACATGTTAATATCAACACATGGCTGGTTGTTTTACCTCAAATAATTGCCAGGATACATTCAAACAACCATGCTGTGAGAGAACTGATACAATCACTTTTGGTGCGAATAGGGCAAAGTCATCCTCAGGTTTGTTTCTGACGGTCTGTGATTCAGAAATCATCACTTTAGGATGTTCTTGGTAGTGATGAAGGGATGCATGATGATATTGAAATCTTCTTGGGATTGTTAAACTGAGGGCTTCTTTCTCTTTCTCTTTCTAATTTAATGTACTCATTCCAACATCACTAGTGCAAGTATTTAACTATTCCGAAAGCACTTATTATATACTTATAGAATTGATACTTTTGGTGGGTAATCCTCTGATTCTTGCTGCCTTTTTTTGTGTATAGTAGAATCTATGCGCTCCTGAGGTGGAGTACAAATTTTATGAAGTGACAATATCTTTCTCTTTTTAAAGTAGTTGGTTGTTTAGGATAATTATCTTTTATTGTGCTACATACACCGGTTTTGGTATCTACGTCGTGTCTTCCTGTCGCTCTGATTTAATCCATGAGAGGGTAGTGTCAAAGGACAGTGCTATATTCAATTGTGTCGCTAATATTTTACTGTATAAATACATGAGTGCATACATACATCTGCACATAAGATCAGAAGAATGTAGTTAAGAATCACTATGGAATCTAGATTAATGGAAGGATTTTTTTTGGTAATCAGTGCATAATTTAGAGGAGCTGTCCGACATGTCTGGGAAATCAGGATAAAATATGAAGATAATTTTTAAGACCTTGCAGGTTGCATGGTACATAAAGTCTGTGAAGTTGTACATTGTAGATCTTACTTCTTTGAGAACGTTAGTTAATGGTAGGTTGAGATTGGTTAGAGTCTAACGTGTTGTAAGTTTAGTTAATGATATGTGGATTAGATTGGTTAGTGTCCGATTTGTGATAAGAAAAATCTATCTAAATTCAATTCCATGGAGAGCCGTGGGAATGGTTTCCTTGGAAGGTGAATTGATGATCTATTATTTGAATATGTTTCTGTTGAGTGGAGAGTCCTCTTGGCTGGGTTCTCGTCCTTATTTGTTGAGATCTATGGTTCAAATGGTACAAAATTGCTTTAGTAGTTTGGGTTTCTCGAGGAAAAAGGTGATTCGTCCCTTTAGCGTGATATTATTCTTTGTAGAGGGGAGAGTCCTTTGAAGGTCTTAAAGTTTTCTTAGGCTTAAAGTTTAATTTGCATGGTTGTAATATTGTTTTGTGTTAATCTTATATGTAGTTGGTTATCAACTTTAATGTTGCTTGAAATTTTATTTCCCTTGATAACTTGGCATCTAACATTGCTGAAAATTCAATTACTCTCTCAGGCTCTTATGTACCCTCTTTTAGTGGCATGTAAATCAATAAGCACTTTACGTAGAGCTGCAGCACAAGAAGTGGTCGACAAAGTTAGGCAGCATAGTGGTGTGCTTGTGGATCAGGTCATATAATTAACTTATATTTATTTGTCTCTTCTTTATTACTTTTATCTTATAAGTTGTTTTTCCATGCAGGCACAACTTGTATCGAAGGAACTAATCAGAGTTGCAATACTTTGGCATGAAATGTGGCATGAAGCACTGGAAGAAGCTAGCCGTTTATATTTTGGTGAACATAATGTGGAGGGGATGCTGAAAGTGTTGGAGCCATTACATGAAATGCTTGAGGAAGGGGCTGTCAGGGAAAATACCACTATAAAAGAGAGATCGTTCATAGAGGTTATATAAAATTTTCTGTGCCAGTTGTTACAATTTTGTCCATTATGACAATGCATGTTGAGTCATTGAGGCCTATCCAACTCCCTAAACATGTGAAACATATATTATTAAATCATAATCTGGAATTTTAATCTAGGATTCTGATAGGAACCCACTCCAATAACTCAATAATTGGGCTGGGCCATGGGTCTTTCATGGACTTGCGTAGAACTCTTCTTGGAAAACCGGCTTTCCAAGGGAGGGTGCCCAAGCTCTTTATAGCCTACATGCCCATTCTTTTCCCTTAAAATGTGGGATCCTAACAGATTCATATACTTTTGAGTGCTGGTTTTTGGAGCTGACGATGTATAATCAGACGCCAAACTGTTGCTAGGAATTATTTCCTTAATTTGGGAATTTTTTCTCTTTTGCAGTATTTAGGGATCTTAAGATACTGTAAATTTATTTCCTTTGTCTAATCATTATATCTTCTTGTTAATGCAGGCATACCGTCATGAACTGTTGGAGGCCTATGAATGTTGCATGAAGTATAAGAAAACTGGAAAAGATGCTGAGCTTACTCAGGTATGAAATGGATATTAAGTTATAGGTTTTTTTTAGGGGATTAGCAGTGGTCACCTATGTTGTTTGTGTGCAAGTGTTCTTTGATGTAGAAATACGAAATGAACACCAGGACAGAAAGAAATTGCATTTTGGTCTCTACACTCACCTTTTTGGTGTTTGTGTAATGATGTTTTATGCTGATATTTCCATTTTTGGATGCCAAAATAGTGTTGACCATCTTCATCTTGGTACTGTTCAAAACCTCAACTGGAATCTCTTGGTTGCCATTTAACCAGTGCTTGTTGTAAACTATTATTAAGGTCATACCCCTCAAGGTTTTTTTAATTTATTTTACCTGAGTTTCTAGTTTTAAGATTCTGTAGAATATATTTTGAGAAGTTTTCTGTAAGTTTCATGATACTCGAGGGGTGAATGATTGACCAGAAACTTTGGAAAACACTTGACTCAATTATTAATAGTCCTTGCATGTGCCTTTTTTTTGTAAGCGGTAGAAATTTTACTTGTCAATGCTATGGTTCTCAACTTCATATCTTGCCTTGATTTTAAGTTTGTACAATAATTTAGTCTATTTGCTATTCTGTGCTTGCCTAAATTCCCGCACTTTTTTTTTCTGCATAGGAAACAAAAGGTGTATGTGTATTTGATTCAGATAGAAAATACAAAAATGACATACTAACCCCTAAAAAAAGTACAACCTGTTCGAAAACCCTGAAAGGACTCCAAATTTTATACAAAAATATGAGTATTGCCAACTCAATATATAAACAACCAAGGGTCTTAAATTAGAAATGGAAACGCTTCACTGTTTTGCAATTAAAGCTTCCTCATTTTGATGAATGAAGAAAGTGGGACTTCTTTAAATTCCAAGCAAATAGACGTCCGTAAAACGGCCAAAAGCTGCTTCAGCCCACAAAGAAGAAACCTCTTCTCCACAACCAATTCTTGTTTCTTTCTAGCTACAAGATCCAAAATATTGCCATAGCTCCACAAAACGTTAGCTTTATTGCCTCCTAAAGCTCATACTTTTCCAAGAAAACCATGTGACAGGTAGGGAAAGAGCCTAGAGATATTAAACTCTTTAGCTAGATTATTCTGTAATCAACCAGCTATGTAGAAATTTCCTCACTTACTGATGCTTCTGCTTCCTAAACTCTAAATCTGTTCTTGGGTACATAGGAATCAAGAAATAAATCAACAACTTGTCTCTTTGGTGGTTTATCTGATTGTGAACTAGACAAACTTAGCACTTAGGTAGTTTAGCTTTCAATTTTCACCAGTGTATTACTAAAAACCTGGCTGATTAGGAATTCAATTGTTTTCTTGACCAGGCATGGGATCTTTATTATCATGTTTTCAGAAGGATAGACAAACAGCTTCAAAGTCTTACTACCCTGGACCTGCAGGTAAGAATGCCTTATGTTTATTTTTTACTCAAGTCAGTGTTGTATCACTAACTATCCACTATGTATGTGAAAACAGTCTGTTTCTCCTGAATTACTGGAATGCCGTAAATTGGAGCTTGCCGTTCCTGGGACATATCGTGCAGGCAAAATTGAATTTATATTCACAATTTTTCTTTGTTTCTAAATCTTGTGTGCCCCTCAATAATTCACATCCATTTTTCATTTTCAGATTCACCAGTGGTAACAATTGCATCATTTGCAACCCAGCTCGTTGTCATAACATCTAAACAGCGACCACGTAAATTGACAATTCATGGGAGTGATGGTGAAGATTATGCCTTCTTGCTGAAGGGACATGAAGATTTACGCCAAGATGAGCGTGTCATGCAGGTATTCTCTCTTTTCAACTACTCTGCCCATTTTTTACTTGAACAATGTGCTGGTTGGTACTGCCGCTTGGTCCAGGAATCTGGATTCTGAGGCGGTTATTGTTTCTGGTGTCTAAATTGAAATTCTATTAAGTGCTATGCATTTCAGTTACTTCATCATTACAAGAACTAATAAATTTGACATTCAAATTTTTTCAGCTTTTTGGTTTGGTGAATACATTGTTGGAAAATTCTAGAAAAACTGCAGAGAAGGATTTATCTATTCAACGATATGACGTCATTCCTTTATCTCCAAATAGTGGGTTAATTGGATGGGTCCCAAATTGTGACACTCTGCACCACCTTATTCGAGAGTATAGGGATGCCAGAAAGGTTAGATGAAATTCATTATATATTTTATTTTGGCCAATTGAAGTCAAAAAAATTTCTATTTCATGCCCGGTTGTGATTCAGTGGGTGGATGGAGTTTCAATGGCAACTGTATCCCTTTAATGTTATCTTCATGGTTACAGATCACCTTAAACCAAGAGCACAAATATATGCTAAGTTTTGCTCCAGATTATGACCATTTGCCTCTCATTGCTAAAGTGGAAGTATTTGAATATGCTCTACACAATACAGAAGGAAATGACCTTGCTAGGGTATGTGTTCTTCCGGAACTGTGATATGTATTGTTCTTTGTGTTCCTTAATCATCTTTCACTGGATTTCAAGGCATTAATCTGTTTTTTATAGGTTCTTTGGTTAAAAAGTCGCACTTCGGAGGTATGGTTAGAGAGGAGAACAAATTATAATAGAAGTTTAGCAGTCATGAGCATGGTATGTGTTTGCTCCTCATTTCTGCTCCTTTTTCTTGTGATTGTCTGTTTTGAAATTTATGTATTCTGTTACTCAGGCCACCTCTCCCTTGAATTGTATGAAACCCATACAATTAGCATGACATTGAAATTTTGCACAAGTTAGCTTTTAAGCTGTTGGCAACTTCAATGGTATCTTCAATGTCCAAAAAGGCTTAAAAACTGAATAATGAGGGAATTAAAGTTAGAAGGTGCTCCATTAAATCACCCAAATTTTGTTGTAATCTGACTAAGTTTATGCATTTTTGGCCAATCGGTGTTCATAATGGTTTATGGTTATGAACGGTGTCTCTTTGGAGTTTGTTTGGGCCCTACCCCTGGAGCATTTGGTGATTGCAGTCCCATCTGCTTTGTGTGTATGTATACATTCACACACATTCACACGCCATCTGAACGATCTGGGAAACAAGCTGATTGGTCTTAAACTTTTTAGGATACTTCTAGAGTAAGATCAATTTTTTTTTAAGTGTTGTAGCACTCAGCAAAAAGTATAATTGTCACTTCATTTAGTTTTTAAAATATCGTCAAAAAATTTGTGTGGAAGTGTGCTAGGGGGTGAAAAATGAAAAGGAATCCAAGATATCTTATTGCCTACAGAGATGTGAAACCTTTAAATTGATAGGTTCTACTGGCCTCATATTCCTTGCTTATCCATCTTGATGTTGGTTAGGGTTGACTTGTTTCTGGATGCCAGCGGATCTTCATTTATTTATTTTTTTAATGTGAAAATTTTATACAAATTATAGTTGATTTGTTTCAGGTTGGATATCTTCTTGGTTTAGGAGATCGACACCCAAGTAATCTTATGCTACACCGTTCTAGGTATGTTTTGATTGAAAGAGAGTAGTAGTAACTATAACTAAAACTTTGAGGTCTCTCATGTATGTTTGATGTTTTCTAGTGGGAAGATTTTGCACATTGATTTTGGGGATTGCTTTGAAGCTTCAATGAACCGGGAAAAGTTCCCTGAAAAGGTATATTCCAAATAATAGATCTGGCATTCGATTTGCTTTCTTACATTGAATGGTTGTCGTATAAATTAGGTATGATTACTTTATTGTTTATATTTTGTAGGTTCCATTTCGCTTGACTAGAATGCTTGTGAAAGCCATGGAGGTTAGTGGTATTGAGGGCAATTTTCGTTCAACATGTGAAAATGTAATGCAGGTTCTACGATCAAATAAGGATAGTGTTATGGCTATGATGGAGGTATTGGTTACTTCATTTATATTTCTACTTCATGGTTGCAATATTGTAAATTGAATTTTTTGACTTATAGCAGGATACAAACTCCAAACTGATTATTTATTTTAACTAACAATGGAACACCACATAACTTTTGATATTGCCAACTCAACTACCCCAAATATTGAACTGAAATAAATGAACGATTGAGAAATTTGTCCCATATTAGGTCAAAAAATTTCAAATAAAATTTACCTTGCACTTTCATATAGTAATTTCTACACTTAAATCCATAAATAAAATTGAAACACATTTGTAAGTTTAGTGCATGATGAAATTGGGAACATGATATATTTAGTATGTTATTCTTGTGTGTTAGCTAGGAAGAAAAACTAGAAATCATGTTTATTTATTTTCTGAAAATTTCGGTGATTGGTGTACAAGGTAGATATTATTATTATTATTATTATTATTGAGAGATACTAGTCTATATTTTGTTGTCAATATTTCTATATTATATAAGAAAGAGATCAATTTTCGTCAATGCTACTAATCGCATAATCTCAGATAAGAAATTGAAGAAGCTGACTCTTAGTTTCACTTGTTTTCAGGCCTTTGTTCACGATCCTCTCATTAATTGGCGTCTCTTCAATTTCAATGAAGTACCACAAATGTCTGTGTTTGGAAATACTCATGCCCCTGCTGTGGTAAATACTGAAGAATCTGCTCCTAATAGAGAGCTTGCTCACCCTCAACGGGGTGTACGTGAAAGGGAACTGCTCCAGGTTTTATGTTATACCCTTAACATTTTTCTTTTTTTTAACAAAGGTATCATTCCACAATTTGTACTTACATTATTATCCATATGTAGGCTGTGAATCAACTTGGTGATGCTAACGAGGTTTTAAATGAGCGAGCGGTGGTTGTGATGGCTAGGATGAGTCATAAACTTACGGGACGTGATTTTTCTTCGTGCTCACCATTGCATACCAGTTCTATGCAACATCTAGTAGACCCCAGCACCTTAATTTCTGGAGATAACCATGAAGTTGAGCATGGTCTAAGTGTTAAACTGCAAGTTCAGAAGCTGATTTGCCAAGCTATGTCACATGAAAACTTGTGCCAAAACTATGTTGGGTATGATTTTGCAATTTTGCTCTTTATTATTCTAGTTTTGCAGAGACCTATTAAGTTAACTCGTGTAAGATAAGACCTCACTCAATAAACACTTTCTGGAATCTAATATCTTTTGTTTGTTGCAGGTGGTGCCCTTTTTGGTGATTGAAGGCAAGGCAGCCATATATATTGTAAATATTAATGTACGTAGCATATAGTCATAGTTCCATGTGTAGAGAAAATGCATTTTTTCCTTTTTTTTAATTATGTAGTGTTGTAATTTATGTGAATAGGCCAAACTGCCAAGCAAAAAGGAGTATGTTATTTGTATGAATGTATAAGGCTATGAGAGAAATGAGATGGCAGTAGTAAATTCAATTTTCTTACTCATATATAACGGCCTACGCATACTTACTGGGTTAGAGCTACTTAATAGCATCATTTATGACAATTGGTGGCTCAAATTTGTTGCAATTCAATCATTTTGTTTGCTGTAGGCTCTAGCGGCCAGCATCATTCTAAGGGCATCTCCAACCCACACCCAAATGGCGTAAAAAACACCAAATTGGACCAACCCACGCCAAGCGTTGCACTGTAGCACCACGCCAAAATGGCGTGGTACTGTAGCCATTGTTTTAAAACCCGGACCGGAGGGTAAACCGTTTTGCTGTCCGGGTCACGGTTCAATCGGTCCAACCGGTTGGACCGGTCGGTTGGACCGGTGACGTCAGCAATATTTTATTTTTAAAAAATTACATATTAACCCCTTAAATCTTAATATATTACAAAAATTCCCCTAAAAAAGTTTAAATTGGTCCCTAAAATTTTTATTTATTCCAAAAATATCCCAATAAAATTACCAATTAATCTCTAAACTTTTGATATATCTTCAAAATACCCCTATAAAATTATAAAGTAACCCTCATAATTTTAAAATATTTCAAAAACCCCCCTGAGACCTAAACCGGACCGGAGAAGCTACCGGTTCACGGTCCAACCGGTCCGACCGGCCGGTCCGGTCCGGTTTTTAAAACAGAGACTGTAGCGCAAATAAAAAACATATATATTTTTTTTAATTTTGTTTTTTTGTTTTTAATTTTGTTAAGTTAATTTGAGTATTAAATTTTACACCAAAAATTACACCAAATTTGAGTATTTGTATTTAATTTAATTTGATTATTATTTATAATAATAAATTCATAATAATTATATAATTTAAAAAATGATGAAAAATTAAAAATAGAACGTTATTTAATACAAATATTAAACTACAATAAATCAGAATAAAAATTAACATTAATTTAAAAATACTAAAATTAAAAGAAAATATAACATAAACTAAATAACAATTTAGTATTCCGATAGATTAATTTCGAATCTAGTAAGATCATCAAAATATTGAAAAGAATTAGAGTTATTTTGAGATTCTTGACCTTGTTGTTGAGCTCTTTTTTGCATAATTCTTGATTGCTCATTTTGAAAAAACTCACGTAGACTTAGATCGGTTATAGAATTCAAATCCTTGAATAAAAGTTTTTCTATCATGTTTTTCCATATTAAATGTAATGTTTATTTAATTAAATAAATGCTTAATTTTATTAAATTAGTATAATTTTTAAAATAATTATTATTTAATAAAAATATCATTCCCAATATTTAATTAATATATACAAAAATAACGAATGAAATAGATTAATTGTTGATTATTACAATAAAAGAAAAAAAAAAGAATATTGGTGTAATATTTGGTGTTGTGGGTTGGAGATGGAATAGTGTTTTGCACCAAAATCTGTACCAAATTGGTGCAATGAGTTGGAGATGGTTAAGGATTTTTTTTCTGACATTTTCATTAGGGGTGGGCAAAATTTTAGAGTAGAATCGGAACTGACGGATACCTAGGTGTTGGTTTCGGTTCTTACTCGAAATCAGCTATAATAGGGTAGGTTTCGATTCCAAAAAATTGGAACTGATACTGTGCTGTTCCGATTCTGGTTAAAAAACAAAGGAACCAAAACTAGGATTAAATTGATAGAATATTAAAGAATTGGGGTTTTTTTATACTTTGATATGAAGGGGTTTTTTTTGATATTTCATATATCATGTAAATATAAAAGAAACTTTTGGTTTTTATATCTTGTTATCAAAATCTTATTAATTTTCATTAAAATATCAGCTTTTTAGAATATTCTTATTAATGATTAAGTTTCACTTAATACTTGATTAAAAAATTAATATACATTAATACCTTTATATTAAATAATAACATTTAAATGTTCTTATCGGTGAAAATAAACAATTAAATACTTATAATCAAACATTAGTAAATATAAATAAATATATTTTTTAATATTTTGTACTTAATTGTTAGGGCCTTAGGGGTGTAATATAATTTTATAAGGGTTTATTTGTTATTTTTTTTTAAAATAAGGGAATAATCAATATTTTTAGGGTACTTGGAATTAGAACTTGTAACATAGGTTCCGGTTCCAAGTTTTTAGGAATCGGAATTGGCAGTTTCAGCTTTGCTTTCAGTTCCTTTGGTTTTGGGCAGGTACTTGAACCCGTCCACCCCTAATTTTCATATAGTGATGACTGTATATTTAGAGTACTATTACATCCACAATTTTTTTTTTACAAACTTTCTTTCACAACTCTGACATGACAGCTGGTAAATGGTTAGTCATAATTTATCAGATGAGACTTTTTATGAGCTGATTAATTATTAGTTGTCACGTCAGAGTTGTGAAAAAAAAGCTGTGGGTGTAGTATTATTCGCTCATTTATCAGCTCTTATGGCAAACAAAACTAATAGTTTTCCTCTAACAGTGGAAATAAATTTCCTACGTCAAATATTTACTATAAGTCTATAACCATCCAATCATTTGGCTCATTTACTCTTATGTGGCACTTCAAGACTATATGGTTGTGTCAAATATATGAAAGACTTTTCGTTTTTCTGAACGAGACCATTTAAATAAGGTTTTTTTTTTTTTTTGAAAAACAGTTTTTTATTATTGTTCTATAGATTTGATAGTTATTGATTGAAGTGTAAAATAAGAATGCTTAAGTAAACATGTCCTTTCGTACATTTTAATATGTAAGAAAAATTAAATCTAGACTTTCTCCACTATTATGATGTTTTCAAAAATAGTATTTTAAAAAAAATAAAGTTGAGTTAAATTGAGTTATTTTTATGAGAAAAATAATTATTAATATTTTGAGTAATAAAATAGGATTAGATTTTAAAAACATTGAAACAAATACATTTTTAAATTTTTAAAATAGGATAGTGAAACAAATGCAGCCTAATTATTCTTTAGTCCTAACAAGTTTCACCGTGAACGCATTTAGAGAACAATAAATCAAACAAATAATATCTTCGTTGATGTCCAGAGTACACACTAATGTGGGCAAAGGACATAAATTCTTTATAAATTATTATTTATTCTTTAGTCCTAACAAGTTTTAAAAATTATTATTTATAAATTCTTTAAAATCACATGCCATCTAATTTTCATAAAATTATTTTAAGCCATCCTTCCCGTGCCTATCCAAACCTACGTCGGATATATGTTATATGAGAAACGCATTAAAAATAAGGGAAAATAAAATATTTTTTCATATTTCAATACTTTTTCTATCTTGAGTTCTATTAAAGTTTAGGACATAAATTCACTGCTTGAAAAATTATGGTTCAAAATTTAAAATAGGTTTAAGTTTTCTCCCAAAAAGCTTGTTACTTTATAGAAATGGATAGTATGAGAAAAACGAGAGTACATCAGTTGCTCTCTTGATATGAAGAATATCAAAAATATTTTATATTTCTTCGTCAACAAGGTTCATATTCTTTTATTTATCAATTTTTTTGTCAACAAGGTGTAGAGTTTCTTGAAGACGTAGAAGACACTTTTGCTTGAGATGACAATTTCTTTTCAGATTCTATCGAATGTGCTTACCATTTTTATCAAATAAAATCAGATGTAGACACTTTGAAAGCACAAAAATATTCCTTGATTTTGGGGCATACCGGCCATTTTGTGAGACATTATAATAAAATTGCTGTCTAAAACATAATGAATATCTAGTGGACAAATTTATATTGTTGTAATTTTTTTATAAGAATGAAACAGAGCATAAAGCTTTGTAGAAATATTATCCGAGTATTTTATAAAGAAAAACAGATGGTTTCATAATTAGAACTTGATCAGATGTTCTGTCAATATTTGTCTTATATCAGATACTCTGATGAAGAGTTTTGCTTCTAACCAAAATGTACACTTATAATTGCCTGATAACTGCTGAATTAATACGTTATAAAAAAGTGATTGAAATTGCATTGAGAACCTTATATGTACTTACATGGTTGTGCTTGAGCTAAAGCATTTCACACCAGTTACTATAAAACTTAAAACTACATTTTGGTAGTAGTGTTATTGGTTTCCCAAGGAGACCTAAACCTGCACTGAAAGAAAAAGAAGATGTGTATAATTAAGTATTAGGTCTCTTGTTATACTTGCTCTGCACTAGGCTCAGAAGAAAATCTGTAAAAATGTTCTCATAGTCTGGCATCTTCCCGTACCCTGCGGGAATCCCAAAAAAAAAAAAAAGAAAGAAACTTGCTAATTAACCGCCATCTTCAGCAGCTTCTATGGTGAATTGGACTGTTAAACATAAAAGCATATATGGATTTAAACATCCTTCCTTCATATGTTTGAGGGCATTTCTGAGTTGTGGGGAGAGGTACTGTATAGTATATATAGTTAAAATATTCAAATGAAACGACAAAATACTACATATGTAAACAAATTCTACTTGCCAGGAAAGTAGTTGATGTCAATGACATAAAATATGTCTCTGGTCCCATGCTCACGGATCATATCGATGTTGAACAACCGCAGGCCCTAAAAAATGCGGCACCATGTAAATATGAGTAGCATATAACCAGACATATTACACAGCTAAAGCCACATAGCTCAACATATTACAGCTGAGAAGCTATAATTTACCAGCCGCCGTCGGAGTTCCTTTGCAAGCCTTTCCAGCAAGGGTCGAGGAGGAAGTTCTGCAACGAGAATGCCACATTAAGCAGAGTGAAAAGCTATGGCTGGGAAAAAAAAAAATTTGCATCCCTCATATCCAACTTATGTTTAGTCAGGACCAACAAAATTGAGCTTAAACCTGAAAAAAAAAACGTAAATATATATGTGCTTTTGCCTGTATTTTATAACCTAAACACACCATTATAACTTGTGAACCTAAAAAAATTAGTAAAAGAGATAACTACATATTCCTTACACACAAATATTAGGGTCAAAAGTCTCACCAGCAATACTAGGGTCCAAATCTGCATCATCTGCAGAAGCAGCAGCAGATGAAACCCTTGGAAAAGGTATCAGACCAACAACTTTTGCTAGCTCACATTTACTGACATTAGGAAGAGAAAACCGCCTTACAACCTTTATAGCTTCCCCAACAATATAAATTTTAAAAAGAACACCTCCTACAATCAAACAAGTAGAAGAATTTAAATTTCAAACTCAAGTGATGCTACATGGAAATTATGAGGTTCATGCATCAGATGCAGCACTGTACCATGGTTAACAAACTCTTGAAGAACCAAGGGAGGCTCAAGTTCTGCAAGGGAGAATCGATCATAAGCAAGAAATAATTCATGCGACTTGGCACTTCCATCCACTACTAGAGGCTTAGCAACTGGAACAATAACCAAACCAGGGAAGTAAGCAAATAATACTCAGGTCAGACCAAAGAAACAATTAGAAAAATAATAAGAATAACAAATCATTTATCCCCAATCAAAGTTAGGCATCAAGAAATAAGATTTCTCGAGCTGATTTTTTATAAATTTTCCCAGTTTGAAGATTCTATGGTTAAGGCTCTTCAACAACAAAAAAACCGAACAACGGCATAAAACTTGAGAATCTGATGAGGTTCTCTTGGCCTTACCCCCATCAGTTCAAAACTGAATCCTCTACAACTTTCATGTACAAAGCTGCTAGTACTGAACAGATGCAGAACTTCCACATATTAAGTAAAAGCTATAATTAAACACCAAATCGAAACCCAAAGTCAGACAGAGAAAAACCTACCTATTGGCAACTTTAGACCAGCTTCAAAAACTTCATCAGGAATTGATAATGGATCGTTTTTTATAACCATTTGTTTTGGAATGCAGACCTTGCCTACAAAACATATGGTCAATGCAAATATCAATGAACTATTATCCCCACGGTTTCCAGAAAAAAAGGAAATAGGTATTTTAGAATATGATTGCCACAGTTCAACAAAATGGTGCTTAATCTACCATGGCAGTCAGACAAGTTAAGATTTGCCACATCCTGGAGCATTGATTGCCGATTGTGTAGGTGTTTTATTGCATCTGGAGGATCAAGGACAGTAACTTCTGGATGTTTCTGCCTGTAATCCTTCAACAAAAAAGAAGGGTATAAATGAGCCCCATCATACAAAATCAAAGACAAAAAAATGTCTATCTTTGTATGTGTGTGGGTATACATACTCCACTAAAACTTATAATTGCAGGAAGTTGGCTGGATTCTAGCCTTTTCATAACAATAAACCACAAATGATGTATAGCTAAAAACATAACTTTTAACAGAAACACATAATTCACAGATTTTCTATAACTACCGAAATTACAAACTGGAGAGGTGCAAACAAGAATTTGGCAGACCAAGAACATTTCACACCAGGAGACAATTTACTTTTAACAAGATGGAAATAGAACTAAAATGCGCATTTATTTAGATTCAATTCTTGAAAGAGTCAACAAAAAACTCTCTTTTCTCCAGAAGAAAGTTCCTAAAAAAGAGTGATAAAAGAACCTCAATTTAATCCATAGTATTTTATTATCCTCAAAGCCCCAATAATACTCCAATGAAGAATACTATTATCAAATATATTTCTTCCTCAACCTAGAATGAAAAACTTTCATTGCAGAAGCAGGCAGAAAAGGTGATAAGTTTTTATTGATGAGAATGCTGCAAACAGGAGACAAGTTTCTCAAACCACCATTTAGTTAAATATTTTGTGGAAACAGTAAGCTTATGTGATAAAGAAATACATATAACCTACAGTATATATATTAAATAAGAATTAAATATCATGCAGGATGAAGCTCGTCCACCTAAATACTAAAAGGACAGTGTGTCTATCAACTGTGTACAGCTGAAACAGGGGGTTATTCTGACATGCCTTCCATCATACACACAAGTTCTTTAAACCCCAACATGATTATGTAAATAGCAAGCATAATCTTACAAGGGATACAGGGAGTTTTCTTAGTAGAGATAAAACCATACATTAGATTTTTTTATGACAAGTTAAATATTTGATAAATAAGTCACAAAGATCAACACTGACCCAAGAGACTGCTTTTGGGTAAGAAAGAAACAGATATCCAAAACATAAGCATAATTTATAAACATAAGAAACGACAGAAGGAATAACAGCACATAAGCCGTGGCTTCTTTGTACTGCAAGTAAATCAGGGAATGTGATAAAAGAGACCACCATTAAATTTAAGAACCTTCTTGTCTTTTTCTAAGATGTCAGTTACTTGAAGGAAATGAAAACTAGGATTCAGAAATAGAGAAGACATTGATTAAAGTACCAAGTTATGTTTTACATACAAGACAAGAGGCACAAATTGTGTCATATGTTTTACAAGTTTCTAGTTAATGCAACATGTTATGAAACAATGTGACACTAAATAAAAAGGAACATTGAAGCATCCTTTATAGTAGACCAACTAATTAGATAAAGATAAAAACAGAAGTGAGGGGAAGAGGAAGGAGAGAGGAGTGAGAAAGATGATCAAGATCAACTAATTCATTTATACTTGCATTACTACCTATTTATAATGCTAAAAAAGAAACTTAGAAATAAGTCATAGATATCTAAAATGGTAAAAGACCAAAGCATCTAGGTTTGGCATCAAAACTAACCTACAAAAGTGAATTGTCATAATAGTTAAAATACAAAATAAGTGTTAAAATATAAAATGTTAAAAGATAAAGGTTGTTGGTTATGCATCACTTAATTGTATGATTAACATAATATAGTAATTTTTTTTAATTATATTTTTACCGTCTTATATTATATATAACAAAAAGAAGTTGACAGCACGTTTTAGTGTAAAAATTGGATGCATCAATTTGATATATTAGTGCACACAGCAGACTTGGCATATAATTGAATATAAAATTTGTTGACTTTCTTTTCACAAAGTTATTCTGGAACATGACACAGCATATTTTGAGCTCCAATATAGTCGATCTCAAATAAAAACATCAAAGTTATCCAAATGAGCCATCTATGCCCAACTAAGTCAATAAAAACCCTAGAGAAAAATTTCAAAACTGAACAGTTTATTCACAACCAAGCCCACCACACCTAAACAAATCATCTAGATTAATTTCAAAGAAAAATCCTCACTTGTTTGAATTCTTGAGGGACTGATTTCAACTATCTGATCATCATTCATGATGAGGAGAGCAAGTCTCTGCAAATTGTGTCAGATAAAAATAAGTTTTATGGTTCAGGAGATTTTGTTGTTAACCAAACACCATAATTCATGCTTCATAGTCAAACATGAAGAGATCACATAACTTCATATTATACCATACATAGAAGGGCCTCAAAAATAAAAGAGCAGGTCCACAGTTTCTATTCCTAACATGATAAAATCATGAAGTTTAGATGAACAAACCTCAATAACTTCGCACCACTCCTTTCCAGACATCTGCAAGGAACATAAGGCTCATCAGACATTAACTTAAATCGTAAGTACATATTTCTTGTTCTAATTGTTCTTTGCATGCTTTCTGCTTCTAATACAGTTTATTTGTTTCCTAGGTCTTAAAATAATACATATTTCAGCCACAAACAAAGAAAATAACCCTTGAGATGCAAACCTAAGGCTGCATACCAATTCAAAATCAGAATGGGACGATTACTAATTATTTCACCAAAAACTTTAGTTGCATACGAATTTCTGTATCAGTTTCTAAAGTAAGAAACCAACACTAACCTTATGCAAGACAACATCAAAAGGACCTTGATGTAACAGAGGTCTGTTTGTGTCAATGGCAACGAATAGAATCCCCTTATTTCTGCACCAAGCAAATATGTATTTCAATTGAGTATTATAGAATTTCAAAATAAATAGCAAGATTTTGGAAACGTAAGCTATCAAGGGATCAAAACTATTTTTTATCAAACTGAAATAAACAACCGGCATAGACATCTCAACAATTATTCTGATTTTGTTCAACCGCAAGGGATGTCCAAATATAACAACTAAAAGCAAAAAAAAAAGAAAAAAAAAATGTTTCCACCAATTGTAGTGCTAATAACCTACAAATTACTAACCACTTTTGATTGATCTAAATCAATAAAATCTGAATGACTTTAGGTAATCTTTTGCCACGTAGAAACCTCGTGAAAGAAGAAAGACCAGCATGACTTAAATATTATAAAACAAAATATAAAAAATAAAATCAATAGATGCATCAAGTACACGTCGAGCTGCACCAACTGTTCAGGGTCTCATCATCATAACTGTTCAGGGTCTTATCATCATCAAAAGAAATGTTTCACTGTTTATTCAGATGCAGAACATCCACAACAAGAAATTGCGAGGAAAAACAGAAAATTCATTTGATGCAAAAGCATACGGGAAGAGAGCTACCGGTCAGCTTGGTAATCTCATATTGGAGTAAAAACTCATTTCGTTTAAAGTTAGGTCACGCATAAGCTAAAAATTAAACCTAATAAAGAAGCACTACAGTATTTGGTAAAATATGATTTTCAACTACAGAACAAAGCACTATAACATTTGACTTTAAGTTCTTCACTAGAGACTAATCCAAAAGGTATATATGGTGGAATATTCCCATATAAAAATTCAGAAAAAGACTCAAGATTCCTGATACCCAGAAGTGAAGCATAAGTTAAGCATAACTACATTAAAAGTGGAATAGTCTTCACAACAAGAAGAAAAGGTGATTTTGCCATAAGAGTACCAAAGACAACTATGACTAGAAAACAAAATCAAATCTTCGATATGCCCAAATTTACGAAACAATAAATTACAAAATCCCACCAACTTTAATAACAAGCACTACACAAAAATAAAAAACAAAAACACGCAAAACAAAACCAGATAAAATAAAAATCAACAGTAATTCAGACCAAAATCACCCCACAACACAACCCAGAGAAACTAAAATTCAAAAATAATAGCCAAATTTTAAGCAATTCTAAAGCATAAAAAAAGAATTGACGAACAAAAAAAAAAATGGTAAAACTCAAAATTCATAAATAACAATAGATATAACATTCAGAAAATGATAAAATGAGTAAAACGGCTATATGTAAATACCGAGCCAAGACTTCAAATTTTGGTTGCAAGAAACTTTTTTTCTTCTTTGAAGTCAAAGCGTAGCCAACGACAAACTCTTGTGGCTGTAAATTTCCACTCCCCTTCTCTTCTTGTTCTTCGTTTGGTTCTGGTTCATGAGGAGAGATTTCTCCGTTGAACCTCATGCCCAATATTTTTCTTTCTTTGACTGCAAAAACCCTAATTTCTGAACCAATAATAAATCTTTTTATCTCCTTATTTAGGAGGATTAAGCAAGAAAGAACAGATTGAAAATAAGAAAGTTAAAAAAGAAAAAAAAGAAAAATTAAAGCTTAGCTCAATCTCTGTAGAATGAAGGAGAAGGAGAGAGTATTTGTTTTGTGTTTGTGTAGTTTAAGGATTTGAAGAGAGAGAGAGAGGGAGTGGAATTTTGTGAGGGAATATTAAATTCAATTTCAATACTCTGCTTCTGCAGAGGCCAAAGAAGAGAGCATTTTGTATCGTTGATCCTCAGACTTATGAATAAGCAATGACTTCTCATGACTCATTCCTTTCCAGCAATGACTTCTCATGACTCATTCCTTTGGAAAGAGATAGTAAATAGTGAAATTGAGTCCATTATGAGTAATCATACATAAAAGTAGTTAATTTCCCTTTAGGACCTAAATGAATAGGGTGCAAATGGATATTTAAAAAGAAATTAAAGACTAATGGATAAATTGATAAATACAAGATAAGATTGGTTGCCAAAGGTTATACATTGTAACGTCCCATTTGAGGTATGTAGTTAAATTATTATTGTATTGCTTAAACGTTTCTTGATTTGTTCTCAATTGAGCTTGCATGTTATTATTTTTGGTTGGTTGCCCCTTAGTTGAATTTTGTTAAAGTTATTTTGAGAAAAATGTGAAGAAAATCCCTTAAACTTTCATTAGGGGTAAAATGGTATTTTCACTCAAAATTAGTTGAAAACTTGGGGAGTGAAAAGAGATAGAATTTCATGGAGAATGCAATAAAAATGAGGGTATTATTGTAATTAACTAAGGGACATAGATAAAATTTCTAAGAAAGAGCAAGGGTAAAATGGGAAGGCATGTGTTAATTATGAGCTAATAAGGGTTTGGGTTTAGAAAACCCTTCATTTTCTCTTCTCCACCGCCCATCCCCATTCCTTAATTCCTCTCAACTTGTCTTTCAATATTTCAAGAATTTTAGAGGGCTTTTTGAGTAGTTTGGGATAGAAAGTTTATTTAAGGCATCCTAAGGTAAAGATTCTTGCTTTAGATGTGAAGTTTTGCTTATATATGTATATTGAAGTCTTATGGTTTTATTGTTTAAAGTTGTAGAGAAGAGACAAGCTATCAAAGGAAAGGAAAAGTGTTAGTGAAATCTCTCCATTACAAGGTAAGTAAATCTAACCCAAGTTGAGATTTGAGAAATCCTTTGAGTAGAAATTGAGTAGAGATTAATGTATGTATAAGTATGTTATTATTGAGAATTGAGTTGAGATGAATATTTGTTTTGTGGTTGTTGAATACACTTCAATTATGAGAAGTGTTGTTAAGTGATGAGAATGTAGTTTGAGATGAAATTGGAAGAATTGGAGAAATATTGTGGGAGTGTTTGTGCCATGGGGTTATGGTGATGATACAAAAGAGTTTTTCTCTCATTTTGGATGGTTCAGGAAACAAGTTGAATGATAATTAAATTAGGGTATGTTTAGGTACAATTGTTGTTTGATGAAATGCCTAAGTGAAAACTGCCCTGTCACAGTTGTGACTTTCTGAGTGATTTTTGGGCATCTTACCAATTGAACTGGATTGAGATCAAAACATAAAAGTTGTATCCCTATCTCTAAGCTTTAAAACGAGACCAAAATCGTAGTAATCCGATGTGTATAACTCAAGTTATGCCTTCTGGAGTGTGACCTGTGCAGAATGACTATCTTGATGCAATATTGCATTTGTGCGTTTCATAAGTGCATTAAGTAAGAAATTTTAAGCATGAACCATCCTTATGCATTAATTGTGCATTGAGAAGTAGTTTGAGAAAGAGTAGAGAACTTTGTGAATGAGCTACTCTAAAAGTAAAGAGAATGAGAAAAATCTAAGAATGGGTTGGTGCTTTGTGAACTCCACCCGGGAGTTGTGAAGAATGGGTTGGTGCTTTGTGAACTCCACCCGGAAGTCACGAAGAATGGGTTGGTACTTTATGAACTCCACCCGGCCGTGCCTCTAGTAAGATGAGGCCGTGACATTCAAGTGAGAATGAATGAGAAAAACATGAGAAAGAATAAAGAGAGAATGAGTAGAGTCACGAAGAGTGGGTTGATGCTTTGTAAACTCCACTCGGCCGTGCCTCCGTTAAGATGAGGCCGTGACTTACAATAGAAAATTAATAAAAGAGAGTTATGTGAAAGAGAAATAGAAAGAGAAAATAAATGAGACGAGAAGTGTGTAAGGAAAGAACTAAGAAAGAGAGTTATGGGGACAAATGAGTAGAGGATTTACTTACTAATCATTATTTTTGTGCTCACCCCGTTGTTTTCTTTGTGGTTGCAGGATCTAGGTGAGGACGCGGTCGGATTGGCATCGGCAAGCGAGGAGCAATAGCTATACTGTCCACTGTTTTTTATAACCTTTTGTAAATGATACCTTACTTGATATAAAGAATGTTTATATGTAATAAAAGAAAATTTTTGGCCCATTTACTTTTGCTAATATAAACGTATTTTTACTTTATGTATTTCTATGAGTATCCTAGTATAAAGGAGTCATTACATACACAAAAGAAAGATATAGATTATATTGACACTCATGCTCCTGTAACAAGAATATCATCAATTAGAGTGTTAATTGCTTTAGCTGCAATTTACAAATTACATATACATCAAATGGATGTAAAGACAGCTTCTCTTAATGGAAACCTGGACGAAGAAATTTATATGAAATAACTAGAGTGTTATGTTATCCTAGTAATGAGCATAAAGTGTGCAAACTGGTAAAGTCTCTTTATGGACTTAAACAAGCACCAAAACAACGGCATGAGAAGTTTGACCAAGTGTTAGTATCAAATGGGTATATAATTAATGGTTTAGATAATGTGTATATTCTAAATCATTTGAAGACAACACTTATGTGATAATATTTCTCTATGTTGATGACATGTTAATATTTAGTGCTATTATGGATGTGATAATTAAGACTAAAGAGTTTCTTGCCTCAAATTTTGATATGAAGGATATGGGAGAAGCAAATGTTATTCCCGGGACTAAAATCATTAAGATAAATGATGGTCTTCAGTTATCACAACAACACTATGTTGGAAATTTCTTAAGAAAATTTAGGTATTTGAACAGTAAACCCATCTCAACTCCTTATGATGGAAACACTCAACTTAAGAAAAATACACAACATAGTGTGAGTCAAAATACATATGCCCAAATCATAGGTAGCCTTATGTACTTAATGAATAGTACGGGCCTGATATTACTTATGTTGTCACTAGATTGAGTAGGTATACTCATAATCCTTATAAAAGCCACTAGATAGCATTAGACAGAGTTGCTAGATATTTGAAGGGCACCGTTGATTATGGGCTAATGTTTGGAAGTATACCACTTGTATTAGAAGGATATTCCGATGCCAATTGAATATCAGATTCAGATGAAATAAAATCCACAAATGGTTATATCTTTACACTTAATGAAGGTGCTGTGTCAGGAAGTCTTCCAAACAAACTTGCATAGCTCGGTCAACCTTGGAGTCTGAGCTTATCACCTTAGAAAAGGCATGCTTCGAGGCTGAGTGGTTAAGGAATCTCTTAGCAGATCTTCCCATTGAAACTCACCCTCCTGTTTCAATATCAATCCATTGTGATTGTCAAGCTGCAATAGTTAGAGCAAAGAGCAAAATTTATAATAGGAAAAGTAGACATATCCGAATAAGACATACCATTCTAAAACAGTAGCTAGAATATGGGGTAGTGAGCCTAGACTTTGTGAAGTCAGAGTTAAACTTGGCCAATCCTCTAACTAAACCACTAAGTAAAAGGTTAGCGAAATACATGTCGAGGGGGATAGGATTTATGCCTAAAGCATGAGGCAAGAGTGATGGTAACCCTTCCTATGTGATTGAAGATCCCATGAAGTAGGTCCATAAGGGTAATAACAAGTCACTTGTTGTCTTGATAAGTATTATCAAATTTTATCTATAAAGAGTCCTCCCTATGGTGAGATAATACTGATTGCAGTGAATAAGGTTGAGTAAAATTACTCTTAATGAAATCCATAGCCAGCATAAATAGTGGTGTGAAAAACTGCAATTCACACCTGATAGAGGTTCACCTATGTGAGTGTGGAATAGGATCGATTCCTATGAAAGCTTAGGTAGACACTTCTAGAGCACTCATGAAATCCAGGCTAGCACAAGACTATAAAGTGCCAAACCGCAAAACAGTATACAATGCAGAGAATTTAGTATGAGAAACTAATCCTCTGAATTACATAAAGATATTTTTGGTTCATAGAAACTTAGTTTCACCAAATTTCTATAACTCACGTTTAGTTACTCAATGATTGGTTCATAGTCCGAAAGACGCCAACTCATAAAGATTAAATTCTATAATTAGTAGTGATTGGTTATTTTGAAATATGTTGGGGATTGTTATAAAAGCTGAGCCGTTATTGGTATTTCAAATTACCAATTGTTTGGACTGTTATGCAATTAAAAGTAATTGCGGTTTTTTGTTTTATTTGAAAGCAAATTGCTTCGGTTACTGCAATTCAAAGCATGGCAGTTTCTTATATTAATTTGGAGTGTAATGGTGGCAATTATAAGGGTTGTTATAGAATTAAAAGTAGGGCTATTATGAAGGGATTGTCAAGTATAAAAAGGGGTGTTTATTCTCTTTTGAGGTACAATTTTTTCCACTCAATAGAATCCGCTTTTGCTTCTGCATCATTGTTCTATCAGCTTTCCTTCACCACTTCTACATTGCCTCATACTGTTCTAAGCTTCTGTTAAAGAGTGCACTTTAACTAGAAGTTCGTTATTGTATCCTAGAGGTNTAAGGTTGAGTAAAATTACTCTTAATGAAATCCATAACCAGCATAAATAGTGGTGTGAAAAACTGCAAGTCACACCTTATGGAGGTTCACCTATGTGAGTGTGGAATAGGGTCGATTCCTATGAAAGCTTAGGCAAGCACCTCTAGAGCACTCATGAAATCCAGGCTAGGACAAGACTATAAAGTGCCAAACTACAGAACAGTATACAATGCAGAGAATTTAGTATAAGGAACTAATCCTCTTAATTACATAAAGGCATTTTTTGTTCATAGAAACTTAGTTTCACCAAATTTCTATAACTCACGTTTAGTTACTCAATGATTGGTTCATAGTCCGAAAGACACCAACTCATAAAGATTAAATTCTCTAATTAGTGGTGATTGGTTATTTTGAAATATGTGGGGGATTGTTGT